GGAGTTATAATGGTAGCTCGCTACTCACTGGATGATAATTTAGAGTCTGTCGTTCAGGTCTCCATTCATTTGCTGCATGCTCTAGTTGTAAATATTCATGATGAGGTGAGTGGAGTTAAATAATATAATCAGTTATTATTATTATTAATTATTCTTTTCTTAATTTTTCATTGTTTAGAAGTCTATTTATTTATTTCTAACTTTCCCAAAAAAACCTCTTCAAAATATATTTTTATTAAAATAGAATAATTTATTCGTAATTTATTCATAGGCTGCATCTGATCATACGTTTGCTTGGTACAGAGGAATGGAGAGGCCTTGGATGTATGTCATGAATACTAATGAGATCATTAATAAACATAAGGGAAGCAGTTATGATGATGATGATGGAGAGAAGGAGGATGCAGAAATCATTAGAAAAGACATCATTGAGGTGATGATGATGATAAGGATGATTGTAACGACGACGACGATGATGATATGGATTGTGTTGATGATGATGATGCAATGGATTGTTTTGATGATGATGATGATATGGATTGTGATGATGATGAGGATGATGATATGTATGAAGATGATGATGATATGGATTGTGATGATGATGAGGATGATGATATGTATGAAGATGATGATGATATGGATTGTGATGATGATGATGAAGAAGAGGATGATAGAATCATGAAAATCCAACCAATAGGAGTACTAATACTAGTATTTTTACTAAATAATAATCGCAATAATAATAATAATAATAATTCACAATTCACGTTCTTACAACAGGGCTTGCTAAGGTCAAACTTACTACCCAGGCTAAGATACATTCTAGAGGTCATGATCCCAAGGTCACAATTGGTCATCCAACAAATCATCGACATTATCATCAGGATCGTTCAACATAGGCCTTGCTGTTGTAGTAGTAGTAGTAGTTGTAGTAGTAGTGGTGGTGTTACTAGTAGTAGTTGTAGTTTGATGTGCGTCTTTCATTGTCCGAGATTATTGGATGTCTTGGTTAATATGTATCTACATAAGACATTTGGTTAGTTATTAATAGCTTTAATCATCTTTAATTTCGCATATATTTGCATAAATTTACATAATTTTCAAAAAATTTCAATTTTTTATCAATACATATTCAAACTATTTCCTATATAAATGGCATATTTTCTCTTATCTTTCCTTATAATATCTTAGGAGCATTTTTTCGTTTGGCCTCATAGATTATCATAATTTTGCATTTCTCCCTTATATATTAGCTTAAATTAGCAAAGATTAATTAGCTGATAATAATAATAATAATAACAGATGTGAAAGAATTGAATGGAAGAGCTTGTAATATACCATACCCTGGTGTGTTGCGAATGTTGAGGTATTTGGCCGCCACAGATAGGAAGATTGCATTGCAATTGGTTAGTTGTTTTTGGCTGCTTTGCCATTATTATTATTATTATTATTATTATTATTATTATTTTATTATTATTACTATTATTATTATCATTATTATTATTATTATTACTATTTTTTTATTATTGCCATTACTATTATTATTATTGTTCTTATCCCCCTTTGATTTTTCTTCAGAACGACAAATTCGGCGACTTGGTTCTCAGCTATTTACGTGATGATAATGATGATTCGTCATCATTATCATCATCATCTTTGTCATCGTCATCATCGTCGTCAAAATTGGTCGAAGCCTTACGCTTTGAAGCAGTGAAATTCGTCATGGTGCTGTTGAATTGGAAAGTGGGAGTTGAAAAGATTTTCAGGTATATTTTTTTTTAAATTATAAATTTATTTCTTAATTAATTTTTAAATTGGTTAATTAAATTATTTACTTGAAATTAAATAAGTCCAATGTTTTTTATTTAATAGGAGTAAATTTTTAAAAAATCTAACATTAATTGTACTTAAAACCAGAAATATCAGAGGGCTACTGATAAAAAAACTGACACCATTGGCTGAGACGACAAGTCCGTCAAACGAAAGCGATGTGATTGGTGGATGTTTATGGATGGGTGTGGCTAACATCCTATTGGCTGGTGATTTGAAGGGTTTATATTGTGAATGGTTAGTAAATTTGTATTATTTATGTATATTGTTTATTAAATTTGTAGAAAATATTTACATAAATTTGTATTATTTATGTATATTATTTACTTATTTAATAATATTCTCTATCCCAGCCAATCACAATCGAGCTTCTTGAATGACCTGCTGTTATTGGTTGTTAAAGTTGCTAAAAATAACACGCGGATCTTTATTGATGAATATAAAATGAAGGTTGGTATTTTATTTGTACTTATATAGCGCAATTTCTTGAAATTCATTCTTCCATTCGGTCATTTTTTGTTATATTTTTATTCATTCATTTATTTGCGCGTTCATTTATTCAATCATTTATTCACTCACTCATTCAATCATTCACTCATTCAATCATTCAATCATTCACTCATTCAATCATTCTTTCATTCACAGAAATATAGCTTGAACAGTTCCTTACTTACGTCATCCTTAACATGCTTGGTTACACTTTGCGATAATGGATCATTATCAGTAAGTATTGATGATGATGGTGGTGGTGATGATGATGATTATGAGGGTGATGATGATGATTAGGATGATGATAGTTATGATGATGATGGTGTTGGTGATGATGATGATGATTATGATGGTGGTGATAATGATGATGGTTAGGATGGTGATGGTTAGGATGGTTATGATGATGATGATGATTATGACGGTGAGGATGATGATTATGACGGTGATGATAATGATGATAATGATTTTGATCAGGATAGTATTTGGGGATTTCTCACTTCTCCCGAAGTCATTAAGGATCTGACGGAAGGTTTGGTTATTCCTCTGCTGGGATCGACCTCATTCCAGAGAGCTGCCGCCATGTTGAGGTAATGATGATGATGATGATGATAATGATAATAATGATGATGATGATGATAATGATAATAATGATGATGATGATGATGACTAAAATAAGTTTTTCATTTTCGGCACACAGACAGCATTCGTCTATTTTAATGGATGGAGGTGGCCTGGAGCATGCAACAAAGTTGGATGAAACTGTCAACAGTCTAACATCGCTAAACTCAATCTTCTATAATAATAACAACAACAATAATAATAATAATAATGATGGTGATAATATTTTATTACCATCGTCATCGTCGTCGTTTGATCTACCCAATGGTGTAAAATGGCACCCCATTTTGGAACCCCTATCGACGACATCATTCATCGTTTCTGTGGTTAGATTGGTATTGGGCCTGTGTAGAGTCATGAATATTTGTAATAGTAGTATTACTGCTGCTGCCAATACTGCTGCTACTACTAAGCCGTTGGATATCTTACTATTACTGTATAGTAACCCAGAAATAAAGACCTACTTGGACAAAGTTTACAAATCACATACTCCTACAAACTGTTTCAACGGTAGCTGGTTCAATAGATATGAAGCCCATCTGCTCTACTACTTAGTGTTAACTGCCAGGAAGATAGTGATGAAGACGTCGTCGTCGAGTGCTGATAATGATAATAATACAGTTGACCTAGTTAAGATTCATTGGCTGGCTCTGAGCGCCTTGACCCGATTTCAGCCGGGCGATGAAGAGATGACCTGTGACCTTTTCAGTAATGTGGTTTTTAACGAAATGTTCATGGGGTGAGTTGTTTGTGTCTACTACTACTACTACTACTACTACTACTACTACTACTACTACTACTACTACTACTACTACTATTATTATTGTTGTTGTTTTCTTGCTGTTGTTATTGTTCTTTTTTTATTATATTCCCAGAGATATCTTTAAAAGGACATTCGGAGCTTCAGAAAGTGCGACGACAACCATGACATCAACAGCAGCAACGACAGCAACTACAGCTTCAGTGACGTCATCCTTGAAATCCTGCCTGCCTCCAATCAAACTCACGTACATGCAAAGCCTTCTGTGGAGCAGCTTATCAAAGTTGGTTCAGTGATGATAATGATGATGATAAAAACGACGATGAAGATGTTTAATTTAAATTAAATTAATAAAATTAATAAAATTTAATAAAATTTAATTTTAATTTATTTAAATTAAATTAAAATAATAAATGTTTATTTACGTTCACGTTTTTCAGGCAATCACAAAGCGCTTTCCATTCTAAAGGACTTGTTATTGGTCGATGCAATCAATGTATCATTCCATTTCATTGGCCATTTGAACTCATCATGAAACTTCATAGGCTAGTCAACAGCCAATCAAATAACAGGTACTGTAATAAATAATAATATTTATCATCATTATTATTATTACTTACGTGAAAAATTTCCAAATTCAGAAACGAAAGTGAAACTGAGAAAACGATTCGGGCCGAAAATTATGGAAAAATCCGAAAGCTATTAATAGAACGTTGTCAGTTATCACTGAAATGGATATGGGCAATGTTAAAGTATAGGCCTGGGATTTTGAGTGGCGTATCACGTGATCAGATGTTCTGTGGTCTTGTACTTATGGTTTTGGCAGGTTGTTGACGTTGTTGTTGTTGTTGACGTTGTTATTGTTGATGGGGTTTCATTGTTATTTATTCATCATTCATACTTTTTTCCGTTCATTCAATTTGTCGTTTCATTCATTTATCCATCGACTCATCCGCTATTTTTTATTCATTTATTCATTCATTCACTCACTCATTCATTCACTCATTTCATTCATTCACTCACGTTCATGAAACAGGTCAGAACGAATTGCTAACAGACGAAACGTTATCAGATATTTACGAAATCATAAAGATCCTCTGCTCATCATCAGCATCGTCAGCACAGACATCACCATCATCATCATCACCAACGACATCATCATCATCGTCACCACCAGTGACGTCACCGTTGTCGCCATCATTACCAGGATTAGACATTGAGTTGTATAGTAAGCTACTGGACGATTACCTTGATATGTATGGAAGGATTCCTTCGTTTGAGGCCATGTTACTAGTTCCGTTTGTTATGCTTAAGCGGGGTACTCCTAGTAGTAATAGTAGTAGTAGTAGTTACAGTAGTAGTAGTAGTAGTAGTGGTTGTAGTAGTGGTAGTGGTTGTAGCCGTAGTGGTGGTGGTGGTGATGATAGTAATGATCTTTTACTAAGTTTTTGGAAGTTGTTGTGGATCGGCAAGGAGAGGGCTGTAAATTTCATGGCTGTTGCGCCTAAGCAAGTTAGTGATTATGCTAATTATTATGTTATTATTCGTAGTGATGAATTATTCATAGTTTTTGAAATTATTGTGTAGTAGCAGTAGTAGTAGTACGAGTAGTGGCCGCAGTAGCATCAGTAGTAGTACGAGTAGTGACCGCAGTAGTAGTAGTACAGGTAGGGGCAGCAGTAGCAGTAGTAGTAGTAGTAGTAGTAGTAGTAGTAGAAGTTATTGCTTAATTATGTATAATAACAATTAAATAATTCCTATTTTAATTTTTTATTAACCCCAATTTTCCTATCGACCAATCAACAGCTCCCCTTTCAGATGACCCTCCTACTCGACCTTCACCCCAGAATAGAGCGTGACCTAGATTTAATTAGGTTATACTTCGGACGTCTGATTGCTGGTGAGGTTACTAAAAATAGAAATCCTCTCGTCTACGTCATATGCGTCCACTACGTCAACGGGTTTATTTATAGAAAAGACCAACAACAACAACAACAACATCATCGTTCTCACGGGGGTTATGATAACGATGGCCAAAGTAATGATAACGATGATGTTGCTGCTTTGAGGAAAAAGATTGTACATGCGTTACTACACAGTAAGGTGTGGGGAAGTTTTGTTTTTTTTACAGTATTTTTTGTCTCTTTAAAATTTTTTACAGTAGCAGTAGTATTGTTAGTGTGGTATCGTATTGTATTAGTAGTAAATTGTTCTCTGTAATAGTTGTAGTAGTAGTAATAGCATAAGTAACTAGGTTATGCTAGTAAAAATTGTAGTAGTAGCTATTGTAGTAGTAAGAGGTGTATTTTTTGTTGTAGCAGTAGCAGTAGTTGTAATATTAGTATTAATAGAAGTAGTAGTAGCAATAGTAGTAGTAGTAGTAGTAGTAGTAGTAGTAGTAGTAGTAGTAGTAGTAGTAGTAGGTTGACCTTTAACCTTTTTTTGTATTTATTATTATTTTAATGTTTTTTGTTGTTTTTGTTTTCCAGAATCTACCACACCAGCCACAATTGAAGCGTGAGTTACTACTGTACAAATGTGTGAAACCAAGAGCTGGCGATCATGGTAGTGATGTCCGTGGAGATGATGATGATGGTATCTTCGGTGGTGATGGTAATGATGCTGGCCGTAGTGATAATGATGATGATATCATTGACCGGAGTTTCGAAATCGAATTGTTCCCTAAATTGCCGACAATAAGGATAACGACCTTGAAAGAAATTTTGGGCGCGAAGTTCAGTATAGAAGATCACGTCTGATTGGTCGGGTTTTTTGGACGGATTGATCCTATTGGCTGAGGATTATTGTGTATTAAATAATTTTAATGGTCTGTGTGTTTGTTGTGTGTAATAGACTGAAAAACCGTCTTTATTTTTTTAAACAGCATCTTTATTGATAATTGAAACTAAAAGTCTCAAACATGGAAATATATTAGAAAAAAATATAAAATTTTACAAAAGAAAATCAAACGAATTTATAGTATGCTTGCTCATAGAGTTCTCGTTGCTATGCATGTATATATCTTCTTGGTTAATCAGAGTTACTTTAAACTGTTGTTACTATTGTTAAATTTATTAGGTATTCTACAGGAGTAATATGATTAACATCCAATCGTTGAAAATAGAATCATCGGCCAATCAAATTTTATAATCTCTCTCTCTTTCCCCCCCTCTCTCTTTCTCTCTCTCTCTCTCTCTTTATATATATATATATATATATATATATATTATAATAGTATTATGTATATATGTGTGTGTGAGTGTGTTAGTTGTGCATAACGAATAAATATCTGAGATACATGCGTGTGTGCATGAGTTGTTGCTATTATTATTATACTGAAAAATATCTTATTAAGGAATTTAATAGTTTTTACATATTACAGATATAGTAGCACAGAAAATTAAAATTCGTCACAATTGTGGAATAAAAATATACGTATATAATAAATGTAGATTGGTTGCAATTGACGGTTCGTTTGGGAAGATGAATTAGTAAGCGTATCATCGTAAATGATTGAAGTCATAAAACTGATAGGTTAACAGATGATGATGAAATCAAGATGGTAATGTAATACAAATGATGATGAGTAAAAGAATGGCGGGGTTATGGAGAAGATGATGGTGTTAATGATAATTTCAATGTTGTTGCTGATGATGAGTATGAAGGAAAAGTGACGAAAAGATGAATTGATTAATGGGTGATAAACGATGAAATTTAATTACTGATGACGTCATTGGTGATGAACCGATCAAAGGGTGAATGCATCTGGTAAAAGTAGTCCAATTGACTGCCCTCAATAGCCCGCTAACCCTCCTGTACCGCTAGCGACGACTGCATGGTCTCTTCTGACGTAAGCTTTTTTGAACTTGGGGTCAAGGAGGTACATGGAGCCCTGCGAGGTGACTGATGCCGCGTCGTTGAAGAAATCCGACCTGCTGCCCCCGCTGCGCATCATTTGCTGGCCCCCTGGAAGTACCTGCTCGTTCGTGTTCATTTAATTTACTCAATTTTATATGCACTTTTTCAAATTGGAAAAAATTTCAAGATTTGAAAATTATTAAATTGATTGATTGGTTGGCTGATTAACGGTTGATTGATTAATTAGTTAATTGATTGTTTGGTTGGTTGTTTAATTGTCTGGTTGATTGATGAATAAAAGAGGAGATGATTCACCTGTAGATATCTTCCTTGTGATGGGGTCACCCTTCCGTTGTAGGCATAACTTACGTTTTGACCTCCGGGGCCCAAATAATCAGTGGAGCGTGTCCGTCTGCCAATTAAATTTGTAGACTCTTGCTGGTAGCGGTAGGAGTCTCCAGAATCACCAACAGTGCCCGGATTGTTCTTTTTGTTGAAAACTTTTCGAACCGAAACGGTACCATCGACGAGATCGACGCTGTTTTGCCCGCCGGAGCCCTTGACGTGAGCCACAGCGATTTCACTGCCGTTGTAGAAGCCACTGTCGTCGACCGACGAAAAAGTTTCGTGGATGTTTGTGTAGTTTTGTGGGTTGCCGTTGAAGTGGTTTGGAGTAACGAGAGCACGGGCCTCGTGTTGGTACCACGCGTTTGCATTCACACCTCCGTCATCTGCTTGACACCAAGTTTCAGAAACGCTGGAGTTGGCCCCACCGTGCCTGCTGTACTGACTGTTGCCAACTCGGCTCGTTTCACTGCGCAGAACTGGTCTCCCGCCGTTGGATCCATTTGCGAAATTTGCCGAAACAGCAACTTCTCTGTACGTTCGATTGTCAGCGCCTCCTGAATCAAATGATTCCATTTCTGAGGCGTGATCGTCCCGCAGCATGTTGCTTCTCTGTATCGAGGACGCCGGAACAACGGAATATGAAGATGTACCTGTCATCGGTCTTCCACCGCTTCGACCGTAGTATCCGTAAGATGCTTCAGACCGGGGTCCCTGTCGTCCATTCCATCTATCGACGGCCAGCGGTCCCATGGGATAATTTTTAGCCTGGTACATCGACATTCCGGCCATGCTCAGTTCACTCCTGGACATGCTGCGAGGCATTGTTGCTTGTATCCCTGTTAGTCTGGCAAAAATATCTTGAAAACGGAATGCTGAACTTTGGTTCTTGAGTTTGTAAGCCCAAATCTCGTAGTCCTGGTCAACTTCCGTTTGTGTCTTGTCGATGGAGAGGATGATGAAGAGGACGTTGACGTATTGGACATCTTGCAGAACCTGGTAAATGCAATCAATAGGCATAAACTCCGCGGAAATTTTTGTGTTTAAATCAAATTTGGAGCCCATCCTCCAGCCTTTGCGATTCAACTTTACTTTGGTTTTTATTCCTTTGCATTGCGTCAGACGCTCTCTGATCTGTTGAAGTAAAATTTACATTTTGTTTGGTGACGGTGCTGGTAAAAAAAAATTTTTATGATGACGGTGTACACTTCAATTTAATTTCAACAGAAATCTTCATCGTACATGAAAGGATTTACCAGATGAAATTGAAATCCAAATAAAAGACGAGTCCAAAAATCTTTAAAAACCAAATTGTAACATGAACAAGGCAAACAAACAAAAAATAATTTCATTACACGGGGCATTAGAAAACTCCAAAACAACCCATTGACAACATTCCAGAATCCAAAGCAAATCATAAAAAGAAACAAACCATGGCGAAATTGAATCCATTGAGTTCCCTACAAAGAATCTTACACATGAACCATGCCTTCTTTTCCAGGGTCATATGTGACGGGGGTAAGCTGGAAAGATTGCCCTGAGAAGTACTCAGGTTTGGGCGAGAGTTGGATATCGTCGACATTTTTGTCTGTTGTTGTTGCTTGTTGTGACGATAGGTTGTAGTTTTAGTTGTTGTTGTTGGTGGTTTGATGATAGATTTAAGGAAGTTGTGGACGTTATTGTTTTTTTCAACTTAAATGTAAGGACTCTTCTTCTTCTTCTCCTTCTTTTTCTTCTTCTTATTATTATTGTTTTGTTACTGGTGTTTTTTTGTTTCCAAAATAAGTTTGAACGTTGATCAATCAAATGTCACTTCATTCCAAGGTAGCCTAAGTAGATTGAATGCGAATTTCCTTTCGATGAATATTGGAGTCCATTAAGTTTCATGTTAATTCCATTCCGAACGCTTATAAATTATTTTATTAAAATAATAAATAATAATTTATTATTAATTATATATTTCAATTAAATATAAATTTCATTCATAATAATTAAACAAATATCACAATGTCAAACAGAGAGAATACTCAACAAATCTGCCAACGTTAACGAACAATGCGTATGCTAAAGGCAGCATAAATAAATAACGCTACTGAAGCAAACATACATACATACATACATGCATACATACATACATGGATACATACATACATACATACATACATACATACATACATACATACATACATACATACATACATACATACATACATACATACATACATACATACATACATACATACATACATACATACATACATACATACATACATACATACATACATACATACATACATACATACATACATACATACATACATACATACATTCATACATACATACATACATACATACATACATACATACATACATACATACATACATACATGCATGCATACATACATACATACATACATACATACATAATATATATATATATATAAATATTTATATAAAATAAATAATAAATATGTTATAAATATGTATATATATATATCATATATAATTCGCAATTATTTGAAATATTTTAACTATGTTACTAACGTTCTGATTCATTTAAATTCAATTTAAATAGATTATTAGTTGTTATTGATCATAAATTTCAATCTGTAAAATATTTATACCGTTATAACTATTATTTATTAAGTAGAAGTTTTTTTAAGTTGTAGTAGTTGTAGTAGCGGAGCAGTAGAAATAGCAGTAGTGGTAGTGATGTTCCCGAATTATAATTTTTTATTATTAATACTTTTATATCAGTAAAAAATAGTATAATATTTATAATACGACACAGCTGAACAATATTGAATGAGATGTGCATGGCCAAAATGCATCATCTCTGTCTCTCGCTATCTCACTCTCTCTCTCTCTCTCTCTTCCTCTGTCTTTTTCTCTATTTCTCTTAGCTTTTCTCTTTCTTTCTTCCACTCTCTTTCTCTCTCTCTCTCTTTTTCAGTGTTTTTTATTTTTCTAACTCTCGATAAGTTTTATTTTTATAAAAAAATGCAGAGAGTTAAAGTTGAAAAAAAGAGAGTTAAGAAGTGAGAAAAATAGAGAGAGAAAGAGAGAGAGAGAGAGAAAAGGAAGGAGAGAGAGAGAGAGAAATATATAAAAAATATAGAGGAGAAATGATGAATGACATATTTCGACAACAAAAACAAATCAAACGACAAACAATGAAACAACAACAACAATAACAATAACAATAATAATGCTAACAGTATCATTATCATTATTATTATTATTACTTTTATTATTATTATTGTTATTAAGAATAATAATAAAAACGCGTAATCATACCTCTATCGGCTTAAGCAACGCTAAACTAGCCGACGAACTGCGTGCGTATGTAATTCATAATTCAGGTATTTTTACGCATCACTAAACATGAGAAAGAGAGAGAGAGTGAGAGAGAGAGAGAGAGAGAGAGAGAAGGATAAAAGATATATATACAAATACATGAAAAAATGTACATATACGTACATACACACATACAAACAGACATTCATACACGTACACACGTACATACCTGCGCTATAATTGTTTACCTGTGATACACCTGTATTGCAGAGAGAGAAAGAGAGAGAGAGAGAGAGAGAGAGAGCAATGCAGGTAAGGAGAGATAGTGAGGTTTGTAAAGTGAGGGTGAATAATAATTTTTCTACATCATGGTCTTGAGTTCGGTGGAGATAGTGACCGTGAAATTAGAGGTGGAATTTCATTGGTGTAGGCCGATTGCTTAATTGGATGTAATAAATAATAATAATGATAAATTAAATAATTAAAATTAAAATTATCATTATTATTATTATTTATATTATTATTATTGTTGTTGTTATTTATATTGTTCATTCTGGAATGTTTTCATACATTTTTTTAAAGCATTGAAATATGTGTGTGAGATGAAAGTCAATGATGAATGGATGGATGAATGTTTGAATGAATGAATGACTGTATGTATGAATGAATGTATGTATGAATGACTGTATGTATGAATGAATGTATGTATGAATAAATGAATGAAAGAATGAATGTATGTATAAATGAATGTATGTATGAATGAATGTATGTATGAATGAATGAATGAATGAATGAATGAATGAATGAATGAATGTATGTATGAATGAATGAATGAATGAATGAATGAATGAATGAATGAATGTATGTATAAATGAATGTATGTATGAATGAATGAATGAATGAATGAATGTATGTATAAATGAATGTATGTATGAATGAATGAATGAATGTATGTATAAATGAATGTATGTATGAATGAATGAATGAATGAATGTATGTATGAACGCATAAAACGTTTAAACAAACATACGAATTCCTTTTATAAATTACACCAGCAAGCCATGTTTACATTAAAATCTTCGAAAGATTTAACGCTATGTTATAAAATTTGTTTGGTCACGAAAGACAACAATGCTAAGAATTCATTCATATTTTCTTTCATTCATTCTTTTATTCGTTTATTTGTTCATCCATCCATCTATTCATTCAATCGTTCATTCATTCATCCAAACATTCGTTCGTCCATTGTTGAACTACCATGCTTATTGTTGCGAGTTTGTGAACCACTACATAGCAGTAACTTTATAATCTGCAGTTGATTTTAATAATTCATTAATTCAATCATTTATTCAGTCAATCAATCAATCAGTCAGTTGTTTATTCATTTAATAATCTATTCATCCACTTCTACTCTTCTCATTCGCTCACCAAAAATTTATTCGTTCACAAAAGCAGACGTTCAGGTCAAAGTTCAAGTCAAGTAAATAGTACATAGCAAGAAGAGTAGCAGTGACGTCACACGTACGCCATAATTGGGGCATGAGGCCCCAATGAAATAAGAGGGTAAATTAAATGAATAGAGTATAACGACTCAAGTGTTAAAGTTCAGTTCAAGTACTACATTTCGATTCCTATAAATTTCAAAATGTGTGAACGAGTTAAGACATGGGAGACGGACACGTAATTGTTTCGATCTTTGCTTTTTTATTTATTTTCTTTCTTCATCATTTCCCAACAACAACAACAACAATAATAATAATTAAAATTAAACAATAGCAAATGATAGTGACCAAAAATAATGTCAGTATACTCAGATTCAAAAGTTACATAAATCAGTTCACAAATAAGACATGTATATATGTAAGATTATGTATGAGTGTCTGTGTTTGTTTGTATGTATATTGTATATATACATATGTATTGTATACATACATATGTATTGTATACATACATATGTATGTATACATACACACATATTTGTATGTATGTACGTATGTATGTATGTATGTGTGTATGTATGTATGTATGTATATGTGTGTATGTAAGTGTATGTATAATCATAAAATTTTTGCTAGGGACTATGATAAAATATTTGCACAAATTATGCAAGTTTCAAGCTACGCATATATATACAATTCATAATATATATATATATATATATATATACATATATACATGTATATACATATAAATATACATATGTATATATATATATATATATGTATATACATTAGTGGCGCTATGGTGTAACGGTAAAGTGTCTGGCGATGTAAGCGCAGTGACCAGATTCAAATACAAAGTGATCATCGCCTATCACAAGCAACGTTGTGTGTGATGCGATGTTTCACGTGCATATATTACACTAAATTAACATACATTATAATAAATTTTAATACATCATGATAAATTTTAATACATTATAATAAATTTTTATGCATTATAATACATTTCAATACATTATAATAAATTATAATACATTATGATAATAATGTTGTAATATATTATGTAATAAATTTTAATTACATCTTAAACAGTGTTTAAAACGTTTACAATACTAAATGTATCTGGCCGATCTTTGGACATAACAAGAGGCTAGAGTAAAATACTTCAGAGAGAGAGAGAAAGAGAATGCAAAAATTGCGCGCCATATGAATGTAAATGAAGTTAAATTATTAATAATAAAAGCAATAATAATAATAATGATAATAAAAATAGTAATAATAATAACAACAACAACAATAATAATAAAAATAATAACAACAATATTTTTAATAACGAAAATGTAAGTAACGAATGCAGATTATCATTTAAATTAATAATTACTGACCACTGTGTACTAAGGATAAAAGTATAGATACGTATCATCAAATATAAAGTGTACATCGTTGCATATATTTATATTATTTTGAACTTATATAGCACCTAATATACTGTAAGACAAATTATCTTGCAGAGATCAATAAATTTTGATATTATGAATTGGTGATCTCAAGTCAGTCAATTTTTATTACCACACACGATCAAACTAAATCTTCTTTGTATCGAAACACACAAACATACCACACCACACACACACACGCACACACACACACGCACACACACACACACACAATCACACATGTAGCCTAGTAGCATTATTCTTCTTATAAAATCCAATCTTAAACCCCGAGCATAGCCTAAACTTTCTCATCATATGAAGGTAGAGAATTATTAGGAGTAAAGCGCAGCATAAATAAAATGCCAAGCACAGCCCTACGTCGTATGACGTAAATATATTTAAAACGGAAATATAGGAATGCAACGATATATTCGGTCGGTTATTACGGTCCTTGGCCAATAAATTTAGATCATTGTTTAGAGGACTCTCCCGAATATTATCGTTAGTACCGATATTAATACCGAAATTACCGGTACCTTGATCGTTAATCATTCTATTATTACCGTTATAATTTCCCTTGTTAATCTTATCGTTGCTGTTGGTCACATCCATGAGGTTATCAATCATCACGCCTTTGTTGTCGATGGTGCCAATAATGTTGTTGTTAGTGACGATGACGTCATTTTTGTTGTTGCTGCTGTTGACGATGACGTCATTTTTGTTGTTGTCGTTACTATTATTTTGTTTATCTCTGCGTCTTCTATGACCAATTGGCCTTCTTTCAACTGATAGATTGTTATTAGAAACAGTGCTCGCTCCGTTGATGACGGCAACACCTCTGACGCCATCACCACCATTACCGGCATCCTCAAGCACATCATCATTGCGACCCTGGCCCCCAGAAACAGGGATGTACCTAACGACATTAGATTTCAGGTAGATACTTTCTAGAAAATTCAGCACGACATACTCATTCCAGCCGTCAGTTATGCCACTTATCGACGGTGATGATGACGACGACGATGAAGATATCAAAGCAGTATTACTATTATTATTATTATTATTACTATTATTATTATTTCTATTTCTATTATTATTATCATTGTTGTTGTTGTTATTATTATTATTATTACTATTTTTCGTAAGTGAAGTTAGGTCGAAGCACTCGCTGCACTGCTTAACGTTAGGGAAAATGGTTTTAGGATGTCTGGGGTCTTCCGTATTATCGCCCCGCAGTCTAAAATTAGCTTTATTATGAGACCTCCATAGAAATAAGACACTCTGGCGACAGTTGGTGACTACTTTCTCGATTTTTGTAGCGCCTTTTAAAAAATTGCTGACGCACTCCGAGCAGCCGAAGAAATGCTGAACGTAGCCTCGGACTCTCTGTAAAACTTGCAGACACTGAAATGAATCTGTGTGTGTGTAAGTGTGCGTGTGTATGTGTGTGTGTGTAGGTGTGTGTGTGTGTGTGTGTAAGTGTGTGTGTGTATGTGTGTAGGTGTGTGTGTGTGTCTGTGTGTGTGTGTAGGTGTCTGTGTGTGTGTGAGTGTGTGTGTGAATGTGTGTGTGTGTGACCACCACAATCAGCAGCACCATCGTCATTGTCAATTAGTCAAAATAATAATAATATTAAATAATAATAAAATAATAATAATAATAAATAATAATAATAATCAACAACTCAATCCTAAATCTAAATCCCATGTGTCGTTGTTTAGCGAGTGTTTTTTTTAATCAATATCACCAGTATCACCATCGCAAACATCACAATAATTTCGGTCATAATAAAAATTATTATTATTATCACAAATAAAATTATTTCCATTATAATTATTACAATTAGAAATATACTGACCATTATGATTGTGAGCTACGTTGGTGATGACCGCATGAAAAGTTAGCCAGAGACTGCACGGATAGCCGCGAACATTAAACGAACTTCCGGTGCATTGGCTCCACGTGGGGTCCTTTGGTAGGTTGGTTGTCTGCCGCGGGAGAGTTATGATTGGTTGGTTGGTTGATTGGCTAGTTTGTTGATTGGCTAGTTGGTTGATTGGTTGAGTCAGTGATTGGTTGATCAGCTGGTTGTTTGGTTGGTTTGTTGAATGATTGATTGAATGATTGATTGATTGATTAATTGATTGATTGACGGATTAATTGATTGACGGATTAATTGATTGACTGATTGATTGATTGATGGATTGATTGATTGAGATGACAACCTGGAAAGCTTTCTCAACAGCCGTCAGCCATTCAATTCCTTTTATAGGTGCGATGATCACGTTATTATTATTATTATTTATATAATTATTATTGTTATTGTTATTTTTATTATTATTGTTATTATTATTGTTGTTGGGTGGTGGTGGGGGGGGAGATGACGAAGTTATTCGACCTTGCAACCAAAATTTCAGTCTCTGTAATCCGCCTACAACCCCTTCGTTTACTGGTAAAAACTATTGGGGAAAAAATAGAAATAATAAAATAATAAATAATAACAAAATAATAATAATAAAATAATAATAATAATAAAACAATAATAATAAAATAAATAATAATAAAAATAATCCGGCCATGTTTCAAGAAGCGCTTCATATGATTTATATAAGCTCATCTTTGCGGTATATTTATCAAACAGTAATAACAATAATAATATCAATAAAAAAATGTTATTGATAATATAATAATAATAATAAAAATAACAACAACAACAACAACAATAATAATAATAATAATAATAATAAAAGCGACAAACAAAAAGGTCATATCGAAGGTTAGTGCCCACCCTGATCAAGTCATCGAGGTACCCGATTAGGAATAGGGATGTGCTTTTGTTGAATGGGGTGCGTAGTGGTAGTTCGGTGTTCAGTGAGTAAGTAAGACTGGATAGAAGGTCTTGCTCGTAAAGTTTCAAGTAGGAACTGTGTGTGCGTGAGTGGAAAATGAATAGATGAATGGATGGAGGGACTGATTGATGGATGAATTGATCGGATGGATGGACTGATTGATGGATGGATTGATTGGATGGATAGATTGATGGATGGATGGATAGATAGATGGATGGATGGATAGATGGATGGATATATAAATAGATGGACTAATTGATTGATAGACGGATAAATGAATGGATGAGTAGATAGATGACGAAAATATGGATAATGGTGGTGATGATATTAACAATAATAATAATAACAACAAAACCGACCTATCCCTCCATACATCATCATCGGCGTCATCGCCCCTTATCATTATCTCAAAAACATTATCATTATTATTATTATTATTAGTATTATTAATTTGTTTATTATTGTTAGTAGTAGTGGTAGTAGTAGTAAAAGAAATGCTGCTATTATTATTATTATCATTGCTGTTGTTAATACTATTTTTATTAAAATTAAAACTTTTAATTTGAATTTTTGCAGTGCTATAATTAGAACGAGATTTGATTGGTCGGCTGTTGACTCGAGGTCTTCCAATCAGGAAACGATCTATGGCCAGCATGTGACCGGCTTTCCACTCGGAACTAGATAGATAGACGGAGAGATGAATAATGAAAGAATGAATCGATAAGTGAAAAAAATGAATGAAATACAAACAATCAATCAATCAATCGATCGACCAACCAACCAACAAACCAACCAACCAATCAATCAACCAACCAACCAATTTTTCAATCATTTAACCATATAAACAAACAAACCCACTGACCTACTGAGTAATGAAAACGTCTTATTGGATCTCCAGACAACATAACTAGATGGTAATTCCAGGCTGGAAGTTTTTATCTTATTTTTAATGCTGCTGCTGTTGTTGTTGTTGTTGTCACTGATAATGACGTCATTTCCGTTGTTGTTGTTGTTGTTGTTGATGTTTTTGTTAAACATGATGTCGATGACGTCATCATTGTTGTTGACGTTTCTCCTGTTGCTGATGACCATGCGTCGTATTTTTAACCTTTTACGCTCTTCAAATCTATCTAGTATTATCTGTGTACGTGCATGTATGTATAATTTATGTATATATTATTATTATTATCAAAAGATTTATCTAGCGCTAATTAGTTAAATATATGTATGTATGTGTGTGTGTATGTATGTGTGTGTGTGTGTATGTGTGTGTGTGACAACCTCTCTAGCAAAGTAAGACTTGGCTCCTTCCACTATGACTATGGCGCTATCATCATCGTCGTCGTCGTCGCCATCATTATCATCATCATTATCGGAATCCCCCCAAAGATCATAAACGTTCCTAAGGTAACGATGAAAATGATGATGATGATAACATGATAATATACACATACACGCTTAAATACATTTATACGATAAACACACACGCAAACACACACACATACACACACATACATGCATACATAAAAACACACACATAAATACAAACATACACACATACAAACAAACACATACATACATACGAGAAACAAAAATCAATTGGTAGGTAGTTAGTTGTCAATATTAAACATGCAACACATGCTGAAATTAAAGGTAAAATGCACTTTAAAAACAATTTTTATAATAAATATTATTATTATTAATATTATTATTGTCATTGTTATTATTATTATTATGATAGAAAAGTATATTTAAGAATTATCAAGAAGGAAGAGATCTACCTCATCACGGTCATCATTGTCATCATTATACATGTATGTATGTATGTATGTATGTATGTATGTGTGTGTATATATGTATGTATGTATGTATGCATGTGTGTGTATGCTTGTTTGTATATACGTATATATGTATGTATGTATGTTTCGGCCCATCACAACCTTCTCACATTCTCGTGGGACCGGGCCACGTTCGTCGATCACTCGAACGCTTCTCGATGATTTTTCAGCTGTGTTGATCAAAATTCATATTTATATTTCCATAAAAAGTCGTATCACTGTAGCCATGGCTTGCTAATTCAGCAGAAACTTCTTTTAATTTCCATACGAAGGCATGCTAATTCAGCAGACATTCCTTTAAATTTCTGTTCAGCCACAACCAGCACGAAGCTTGCTCAGCGCTACTAATAACTTTCTTCAGGCATGTTGCACGTTTCCCGCCTGACAGTCCCAACTCTTTGAAGAGTGCAAACATAGACGCTCCCACTGCTGCTCTTGTCCCAGCCTCAACAGCGTAGAACCTGGTTTTGTATTCCTTCTTGTTTGAATCTCGAATCAGCTGCTCGTACTTTGCAGTTATTACGACGTGGCTGGCTGGCTACTGAGAATGTTATCTCTGCACGACACAGTCAGCTCAATAACGATAACTGAATTCGTATTCTCAGATGCCAATGTCGGGTCTCGTGCCTGCTTCTTTGGTATACCTTGAAAAATTCCCTCTTTCTTCCAAATCAGCGTATGTGTGTATGTATGCGTGTGTGTCAACATCATAAAACTTACCATCATAACGAACATCATCGTCGTCGTCGTCACCATCATCATCATAACTATCATCATCAGTTTAGCAGCATCATCTCACTTGATCGGGACCAAAGGCTTCAGCACATCACTACTAATATTATTGATTTTTTGGTTACGTAGATAATCAATCATTGCCGACTTCATTCTCTCCACTGACTCCCACGACTCCATGTTCGTCTGGTTGGGGCGGATCAAACTATTGGCCCCGAGGAACTTAAAAACAGTAGGGATGTTAGGTTGTGTTGCTGAACGTTGTGTGGTTGTTTCGTTATTGATTTTATTCATCATCTTTTAATTGTTTTTTTATTCTAATTACAATATATGTTAAATAAAATATGCTTGCATGTTTATGTATTTTGCAAGAGAGAGAGAGAGAGAGAGAGACAAAGAGAGTGAGAGAAAAAAAAGAGAAAGAGAGAAAGAAAAAAAAGAGAAAAAGAGAGAGAAAGAGAGAGTAAAAAATATCTGGTTATTAAAATTTTTAACTGTAATGTTGATGTGACAGTTATTGACTTGAAGATGATGACGACGATGATGACGATGTTGAAGATGATGAAGACGACGATGATGATAAAAAAACAGTCTAATAGGTTGTATAATAAAAAGAAATGATGATGATGATGATGAATATGTGGGTAGATAAAACTATTTTTTATTGATCAGAAAGATGTTGTCAATATAGATAAACATGATAGTAGAGACGATGATGATGATAATAATAAAATAATAATAATAGCTTGTTATCATCATCGTCATTGTTACCAATATTGTCATAATGAAACTAAGGATAGAGTTAATAAACAAATTAAATTAATTAAATTAATTAATTAATTAATTAATCCAAATCCCACTGCTAACAATCATAGTTGGATATCCTTCTAGTTTGTAGTGCATGCATATTTGTTGGTTTTGAGAGTTTGCACAGTCAATGGCGCCAATCTTTAGCACTTCACTCCATCCTAATTAGAATTGGATCAATTAGGGATTAGTTTTGTTTTATATTTACACACACACACTCAGACACACACGCACACTCACACACACACTTGTACACACTCATATTGATATATATATATATACATATATATATATATATATATAATATAAAAATATAAAAAAACTTGAAACATAATCAAATTTAAGCCATATATATATATATATATATATATATATATATATATATATATATATATATATATATATATATATATTATTTAATACTTATTTATTTATATATAATTATAATATAATATAATACAACCACATGTTCTTTCAAATCTAGAACTTATCAAGATTAAAAATCAAATATGGAATAAGATGACCAAACCTTTACATTCGGTGGCCAGTTGTTTCCACTGGGGAGCGAACCGGATGCAGTGTCCACACCAGGAATTGTAGAACTCAACTAGCCAGGCATTGGGAGATCTGATAACTTCCTGGTCAAAATTTTTATCCGTCAAAATGATTACATCGTCTATCGTTTCATTGTAGAGGCCCTCAGATTTCACTGATATAAAAGTTAGCATTGAAATACAAATTAGAAGCTTTAAGTTGAAATAAATAAATTTGGCGAACATCTGGATCGTGGGGAATTTAAATGTTTTTTAAATTTTTTTAAAAGTTAATTGATGCCAGGCGCAGCTGAACTGCTGATCATTTTATATATGATGAATTTTGTGTTTTTATTCAATATATGTAAAACATTTATATATAAGTTAAACAATTAAAACAAAATAATTGTCTAAAATTTTTAACTAAGTTAAATTTTCATGTACTACTATTGTTTGATGGAAAGAAATTTATTTAAAAAAATTATCAAACGGCGTTGAGCTTTCCATATCTAGTTTTCGTTTTCTAAATTACATCCGTTTATTTTTAAAAATATAACAAATAATTTGTTTTTTATTTAAATTCCTTTAATTTTTGCAAAATAAATTTGCAAACATGGCACGAAAAGTATCGAAAAAGAAGGTTAAAACAGTTGCTCCGAAGTTGTCATCGACTAAAATGGCTTCCAAGAAAAGTGCTGTCAAAGGAAATAGTAATAGCAGTGGCAACAATGCGCCAACTTCCATCAAAAGCCCAAAGTCGTCTGCTGCAAAGTAAGATTATTTTTTAGCCATTTTAAGTTTTTGATAATTTTTGCAATTTTTTGCATTCATTCTTACTTCTAATTAATTAACTTTCCAAATAAAACTTTTCACTGAAAATATTTAAAAATTAATGTAGGAGAGTGGTAGAGAAGGAGGAACAGCCAACCACTGTTGCTGCTAACAACAGAGCAACCAGGTCAAGAGGTGCACAGTCCTCACGAACGAATGCCAAAACATCTGACAGCAGCCTTATAGACAAGACATTGACGATTGAAATTAAAAGAATCAGTGAAAAACCAATAGGGTCAAAGAGAACACCTTATCGTAGCTTGAAAATTGAGCTAGAACCTGTGCTTACAAAGAAAAGACATGTCGTCAATGATGACCTTGATGATAAAAAGCAAACTACTAAAGCTAAAACTTTGAGAAAGAGAAATGTAAATCATAAAAGTGATGAGATCACATCTAGGAGAGTTATGGACAGAGCTAGAAAACCTCAAAAGTATTATGAAGATGATGGAAATGAAGAAGATTTTGATGATGAAGAGGTTATGGATGAGAAGGATGGAGCATCAGGGGATGATAATTCAGATGATGATTACCAGGTTTCCATCAGTAATAATTCAGCAAAACCATCAAAAAAGAAACCAACCTCCAGGAAAGCAACTCCAAAAAAGAAAAAACAAAAAACAACAAAAACAACAAAAAAATCATTGAAAGCTGATAACGTAGATGAACCAACAGTTGAACGTTTGAAGTTCCTTGGAAATGGAACCAGCAATCAACAACAAACTGACAACAAACCTGGCTCTAACACAAATAATTCCAGCAGCTCAAGTGAAAGCTCTCTACTGAATAGATCTTACATATTCAATGCTAACCTCCCTTCAAAAGATGCTGTTGAGAATGCTGGCAGTTTGCAATCGAACAGTGCTGCATCTGCCCACGAACATGAGAACTCTTTCACCATTGCATCTTACAACATACTGGCAGATTGTCATGCTCAGAGAGACTACAAAACTTCGACCTGGGTCACTGCAGAAGAGTTGTCAGTTAATTCCAGGCACGAGAGAATCATGCAGGAAGTGAAGTTCATCGATGCAGATGTTTACTGCTTTCAGGAGGTGGGGACTGATTATTTCAGGAATGTGCTGAAGGACAGCATGAATAGGTTTGTTCTGATTTTTAAATAAATTTATTCAGTTATTAATTACTTCTGTATGCACTAACTACTCTCACCCTAGATTAGGATACGACGGTGTGTATGTGGCCAGGTTGTGGAAGGAGGCACCGTACGAAGAGGGAGAGGCCACTTTCTACAGGACCTCTGCTTTCCATTTGCTACAGCATAAAAATATCATACTGGAGGAACTTGCCAAAAAGGTTGTTTGGATGACACCAAGATGGGTGATGGTCATTCGTTGTTTAGTAATGGGCAATCACAAATTATTTTAACAGGAGATAGACAGTTTAAACGTAAGTGAACCAGTGAAAGACTCCATGAAACAGTCAGTTGAGTCCTACGCAGTATCGCTGTTGACCCAATTAAAAAGTGTGTCAGGTCAGTTCCTGGTTACTGTTGCCAATGTCCATATATGCTATGATGAATTCAAGAGGCAAGATAAACAGTGTTTGCAAGTTGGTCTCAGTGTGACAAATTTTTCATGTTGTTGCTAATTAAGCATTTTCCATTAACATTTGAGATAGTGGTTGCAAGCATACTGTATATTGCTTTGATACTGCAAGATGACGATATCTATGATGATTGATTTAAATTTCATTCACAAAGTATTAATATATCCATATATGTAATAAATATATATGTGCACCTGTGATTCTATTGGATTATATGTATCTGTGAAACTATATATCATCTGTATATCATTATATCATTATTATATCATCTTGTAAGGCAGTATAAATTTTTAGGTTGCACTAATTAACTCAACAGTTTTATAGATCTCAATGAACCTTATATTAATTTATAAAAAGGTATTCAATGTTAATTCTTACGACCGAAACAAGGTAGCGATGACAGTTAAAGAACTTCAAAAACTGGCAAACGACGTTCAGAATCAGAAGGACGGCAGCAGTAGTAGCAGCAACGACAACAACGACATCATCAACACCCCATCTTCTCAGATCATATGTGGTGATTTCAATTCTTGGCCTACATCGGCTCCACAGCGCCTAATGGGAGATGGGCATTTGGATGAGAGTTCGTGCAAGGCAATGATGGCCATAGAAACCATCAAGATGGAGGATGGGAAGGTTATTGATGAATGATAATAATAATAATTATTATTATTATATTATTATTATTTATTATATAATTATTTATTCACAATTTATATAATTATTAATCATGACGTTGATTTGATGAATTAGATCTTACTCTAACATTCACCTCTTGTTTCCATGTTGATGTTATTAATTACTGGTGAAACATTAAATTCTGATTGTTCAGTTCGATTATAAACATCACCAGGTGACCTCTTTGTTCAGCCAATGGAATGATGCATTCCATTTTGACCCTTCCCACAGCTATCAGAGTGCATATCAAGTTGTCACGGTATGCCATATAGATCCAATTATTTATTAATACATTGATTAATTTTAACTTTTAATTTAATTAATTTCTCATTCAGATATGTTCATCTTACTCTTAAGTTAAGGTGCATTACTTTAAGGTGCATTACTTTAAGGTGCATTACTACTTTAAGGTGCATTACTACTTTAAGGTGCATTACTACTTTAAGGTGCATTATTTTAAGGTGCATTACTTTTCATCATGGTCATTGCATGCATGCCACGTCACATGTATATGTCGCACGTTTGTAAAAAAAAAAGTTGAAAATCCTTGCAGAACAGAATTGAAATGGCGTTATGTAAATTACAAGGAACGATGATTAACTGATTAATTGATGTTTAAATTACTAAGATTGATTGATTGACTGATTGATTGGTTGGTGATTGATTGACTTTAATAAATATTCTCCTGCACATTTTTATTTTTCCTCGTTTACCAGGGTTCCGACCCGCACACGAGTCGATTCAACATGGACGGTGAGGTCAGACAGGTCGATTTTATATACTTCTCATCTGACACGCTCATCCCTAGAAAAGTGCTGGCCGTTCCTGAAAAGTCGGACCTTCAGAACGGCGTCCCCAACGCTATCTATCCATCTGATCACATTTCTGTCGTGGCCGAGTTCACTGTCAGCAAATGAACAGCAACAGCTGGTTTCTGATTGGTTGTTTATAGGGTTGGAACAGTTGATTTATTATAGACGATGTATCTACGTGATTAGTCGATATGATTTTAAACTTAGTTCTTATAACTTTTTTGATTGGTCGGCGCTATTTGACCGACAATGAATTAATAATTAACTCCAGATAGATGACTGGCTTGTTGACTGATAGCAAAACTTTTAAAAATCGTTTCCATAAATTGATTAAATTTGAAAAGGTTTCACGTTAACGTTGTCTCCTTCATTTATCGTCAGCTAACATAAATAAATATCCCTGGTTGCTATTTTTATTGACCACGTGAAATATAATGAGTTAGCGTAAGAAGTTGATTATTTATTATCAATTGCAATTTACTTTGAAAACCTTTAATTTTTCATTTAAATTAGTTGGAAGAATCAGCTCACAGTGTTTGGGTATATATATATATATATATATATATATATATATATATATATATATATATATATATATATATATATATGTATATATGTGTTTATTACGCATGTGTGCGTTTACGTGTGTAACTTTACATCTGTGTGTCGTAAATGATGTCACTTGTATGTATTGTTGTCGCTGAAGTACTATTATTGTTACTGTCGTTAGTAGCGTTGTTACGACGTTAATTTTTACACTTGTTAATGTTTCTATTTTATTTACTGTTAATATAAAGATGTCATTGCCACAAAATTGTTAATTTTTTGTTATCGTCGCTATGGTTTTTTCATCCTTAAAAAAATTCTAAATCTGGCAGACGCTGTTTGTTGCATTACAACATGAAAGACAATATTACAAAATTTGACGTTTTTTCTCTTTTATAGCTCTTGTCGTGACAAATTTAAGCAATGGTTGTTTTAACCTTTTATTTAAATGATTTTTTTCGTTATTTACCGCTAAATATTATTATTATTAATATATTATATCATTATTAATATATTAATATCATTTATGTTATTTATCTGCTGTTGAACATCTCATGTTTTCCACAGGAAAAAAGCCCACTCATATACTAATTAATATTTTGATTAAATTGATTCATAAATTTTCTAAATTATCAGTAATATTATATAATTATTTTCGTTAATTAGTATTTCTTTGATGTTTGTTTGTAATATTACAGTGCTTACATAATTACACACACACACACACACACACACACACACACACACACACAATTTGCTGGTAGAAGACTGAATTCTTGACAATATGTAATAAATTCCACCGATATATATATATATATATTATAGTAAGTAGAATTGAAAAGAAACTTTAAATTGATTAGTGCCAACAATTCGGTAGAATTCATACAATACTGTGTGTGTATACATAAACACACACACACACATAAATATATATATATATATCTGTGTGTGTGATTATAAATATATATATATATATATATATATATATATATATATTTATAACTAGTTTTATTCTATCTGTTGTCGGCCATTGTTTGTTTAAAATTTTGTCTCATCCAGATAAAAATAAATATATCGAAAACGGCAACAATTATAATAAAAAAATAATATTAATCTGAATATCAATAATAATAATAATTATGATAATAAAAAATATCAATAATAATAATTATGATAATAAAAAATATCAATAATAATAATTATGATAATAATAGAAAAACATTGTAACGTTACAGTAGTAAACTGAAATAACACGACTTGCTGCAATGCAATTAATGTTGGTGGGTATAAAGTTAGCGCTACTAACCAAAGGAATGACGCGCGCACACACACGGACACATATATGTGTGTGTGTGCGTGCGTTTGTATGTGTGTACGTATGTATGTGAAGATGAATCACTTATGAGATAAAATGATAACATGGGTGAGCGAGCATTATGTAAATTTATTTTTCGAGTTTATCATTATTTATATTTGAATGACAATTTGAAATATCTAGCTTTATATATAAATATATATATATATGTTTGCGAGTATGTGTTTATTTGTACGTGTGTGTGTATGTTTGTTTATTACAATATACAGTTATCAATGATTCATTACTTCAACATAAGTGGGAATAGTAATATTAACAAGGTGAAAAATAACAAAACCGAATGAAAATAATAACAAATATAATTATTTATAAATAATAAGTAGATAATTAACCAAGGATAAACTGATCCGAAATTCCCATCCCCACAAACAAGCAATATAGAACATATGCATATATATATATATACATCTATATATGGGTGAAAATAGCTGATCTGTCATCTGATATATCGGCCAGTACGGGTATATAAAGTACACCATCTCCCATCAACGACCAAAGGTGCATTTTTGTGAACACCCAACTCGTTTTAGGCTAGACGCAGATCAACTATTATCACCCATATTCTTACACATTTTTCAATATACATACATACATATATATATATATATATATATACACACACACGCAAAATAATAACAAAAATGTCAGTGATATCAACAGTAATGACATCAATAAAATAATTACATTAACAACGGAATAAATCGATATCAAGATGTCTTCAGAGCTCGAAGAACAATTCAAAGTAAAGAAAAACTAATCATAATAACTAGATACAGCTTCAATGCATAAATCTACACCATGAAATTAACATAAATAAACATAAATTAATATGTATGGTGTCAGCACACATACACATGCATGTTACCAACTTAATCAATCAGAGTTAGAAGCAAAATTTTTCAACTAATTTTTGGGAAATCATAAGAATATAGAAGGGTTAACGTTATTGACATTATAATTGAATAATAAATTAATAAATGAATAAAAATAATTAAATTCCACATCTCTGTTTGATATCTGCAAATGCGTCTAAGCAGTTAAAGTATTCTGAAAATCCTAAATTCTTGTGGGTTCTAAGTGAGCTAAAAATGAATAAAAATAATAATTTTTATTATTTAATAATTTTATTAACCATATTTATTTGTTCATTCATTAAATCATTCATTCACTGATGCATTTAGTATGATTATACATTATTTATAAGTATATAAACTTTCATTGGCATATCTGTTTCAAACACAAACACACATACATCATGTATATATATATATTTAAGTAATTAATCAATCCACTAATTAAATGCCTAATTAACTTTTGTTAATAATGATAAAATACTCACAAAATTTCAGACAGTCTTAACTGCCATGGTAAAAAGCCTAACATACTTTGAGTACTGCCAAACCGAAAGACCAAATCTGGATCAGGAAATCCAGAAGTTTCTGTGAAAATTAAAAAAAAATTAAATAACTAAAATGTTTTTCCTTTAAAAACTGATTAAATGAAAATAAATCAAAAAAATAAATGAGAATTTGATTGATTTGGCAATTATAAATGTAATAAAATTTAATTTCAAATGAAATGCTAAGATTGTCTGAATCTTATTTGACTTTCCAAATGAAATCATCAAAAAAATAAAAAATAATTTTACTAAAATCAAAAATTAACATTATAGAATACTAACTTTGCATTAAACTATCTACATATAGAACATCAATGTCTTCAAAACGTAAGTTATCCTGGGAACATAATTCCTTTGTGACACTAATTAAGTTTGATTGTCCGTCTTTTGGCCCCAACACGTGTAACTGACTACCTAAAACTTGAGATTATGAAATATGACACACTTTTGTATGAAATATTATAACAAATTAAATTTTAAATTATGAAATTTTGCCTCAAAATGGCAGATGCCAATAATTGGTAATAATAATTTTAAAATTACTTGTAGTTGAATGTTTGTGAAAACCATTTTTCTTTTGTAAAAGATTTATTGCATCATTCGGTTTGTTACTAGAATTTTGTTGAGTTAATGGAGATGATAATGCCTGGAAAGATGATGGTGTCTTCTTTTTACTTAGTAATTTTTCAACTTCCTTTGTTGATTTTGTTCTCAGTTCTTCCTCTTTCCATTTTAATTTCAAGTGACCTGAATATTAAAAAAAAGTCAATTACATAAAAAATAAAGTCATAAAACAACCAAATCAGAGATTTCATTTTAAGCCTTTACCTATTTTATTACAAAAAATTGAACCTGTTTTATTACAACAGCAAATTATCTACCCTACTACATGTACTAATTTTTCAAAATTCGAAAAAACCAAAAGTACCTCTGTGATCATAGACAGAAATGCAGGAGATGCCAACAAGCACGGACCAGGCGACGATCCGGGCGAGGTCAGCGATGGACAGTTCGTCTTCCTCGACGACCACCAGGCCCAGATGGAGCGGCAACTTCCGCAAACGTTTCACTGATTCGGACCTGTAGACGTCTCGGTTTCTGAACAAGAGGAACCTAACTAAGTCGTAGATTGCGGCAAGCAACCAATCGACTAGGGTGTGACAAGAGTTGATCAGCAGCAAAATAAGTTCGTAAAAGCTAAACCGCGACATATTTAAACTTAATTTAGAAAACATTTTAGAAATTATCAGTCTCGAGCGGACGTCATTTTTAAAAATACTACGAAATTTTCATGCCGAGAAAGGACGGAAGTGACGACCGAAATAAACACGAGCACTTCCAAAGCCGGCTAAAACTGAATTTAACTTGTTCGTTACGGCAAGTTTCTTATAATTCAATTTTCAACAGCAAATATATTGAAAATATATTTACAAAAATTTATTTAATTATTTTTTTAGTAATTTATCCAAATTTGAAATTATATATATATATAATAAAAAAATATTGCAGTCAATTAAGCAGAGTAAAACGCAAAGTTCACTTTTACAATCAATCAAATAAAAACAAGACCGTTCCATTGCTTAGCACATTTTTTAAAACATCAGTTTTCTTATTAAAAATATCATTTGTGAGTTTTTTTTACTAGTTTATTAGTTTTTGTTTATAAAAATTGTTAGTGCGTATAACTGAGGTGACTTACAACTCAATTTTTTTTTAAATTTTAGCCGGGTCCTGTGGTGGTCTCATCAATTTCCTTAGTTATTTATTTTATTATAAAATAAATTATATTTATACTATATTTTTTCTTCTCCGTCTGCTACCATTTTCAATTTATCTTTGAATTTAAATGTATATTTTCTCACATTGAAAAAAATTTTTCTGTAATGAAATGTGAAAATTCAATTGTAAATTCGTTTTTGTATTAAATATTAAATAAAATTAAAAGAAAAAAGAAGAGGATTGGTTTGATTTGATTAGCATATTATAAAAGCCGTAAACATGGAGATGGAGCTTTCTATGAGGGCTGCTTATCGAATCAAGGATGCCAAACGAAAGGCTAGATCAGGTAGGTGGTGATGTGGGTGGGTGAAGTTTTTTTTATTTCAATTCATTCATTGAATTTAATAATTTTTTTTCAGTTTTCTGATTTCATACAATAAAATTTCAGTAAATAAAATATAAATACACATATAAATTATTTTTTTTTTTAATTTTTAACCTTTTGCAAAGAACTGAAAGAGAAAGGTGATTGGAGGAAAATGAATTTTGCAGTAACTTTTACCGTAACTCCAGATATGGTGGCAGCACGTGATAACCTCGAAAGGATCGACTACCGAACAGTTTTTTAACATTTTCTATTTCCAATTTGTTATTTTATAGTATAATTGATAGTTTTTTTTATTATATTTATGTAGAATTGTCTTATCTATGTGTGTATATATATATATAAACTTATTTATTTGTATGTATATGTATATACATTTATACATTTGTTTTAGTCAGTCTTCATTCATCATTATTCATAGTATTATTTATTCATCAAAAATCTGTAGTAAATCAATGAGATTTTTTTTCTCATTTTAATAAATTCCCCAAAGGTGTCAGAAATAGAGTTTTTCGAAAAGTATGACAAACCACTGAAGCCTGTGGTCATCACGCACGTCCAGGATAATTGGCCGGCACTTCATAAATGGGATTTAACTGTATGTGTTTCTCTTTTGCTCAAATGATTTTATATCTTTTTTTCTCTCTCTTACTCTTTCTTTCTCTCTCTCTCTCTCTCTCTTTATTTAAATATATATATATATTTATGTGTGTGGCATGTCAAATGTGTGTGTTGTGTGTGCTTGTGTATGTATCAAAGTTTTATTTTGTATTTTTTGTTTGAATTTTGGGAAAATTTTTTGAGCTCACATAATTTTATCAAACTTTTGCAAATTCTTTAGCACATATTCGTTCAGTCACTCTTTTATTCATTCATTCATTCATTCATTCATTCATTCATTCACACATTGATTCTCTCATTCAGTCACTCACTCAGTCACTCAATTTGTTCATTCCTTTCAGAAATTGTCGAAAAAGTACAGCAATCAGTTGTTCAAGTGTGGCGAGGATGATAAGGGCAGTTCGGTGAAGTTGAAGATGAAGTACTTCTTCGAGTACATGTCTAAAGGCACGGCTGACGACAGCCCGTTATACATCTTCGATTCCAGCTACGGGGAGGTGTGTTTGTTTTTGCAGTGCTGACTAGTACCTGTGTACTTGTTCTTGAGTACATTTTCTGAGTACTTAACGTTAAAAACTGGTTTATTATTATTATTTTTATTGTTGTTGTGTTTTTTGTCCCCAGCACCCTAAAAAGAAACGACTCCTGTGGGACTATTTCATACCGAAATATTTTCAAGATGATCTCTTCAAGCTGGCTAGTGATCATAGGAGGCCTCCACATAGGTGAGCTGCCTTTTCATTGGCTGGTCTAGTTTTGCGTAAATTATTGGGTTGATTTGATTGGCTGGCTTGTTTTATTGAAGTTGATTTGGTGTGATCTGATTGGTTGGCTGATTTTAGTTTAATTGACGGTCCCATCTTCTCATTATCTGATTAAAGGGGATGCTTTTTTAAAGTTTATTTTTGTTTGGTTTGGCTGGTTTAACTAGGTACACCATCTTAATATTTTTTTCTTCAAGTTATTTAAAAATTACTTTTAATCAAAATTGCTTTGAGATTAGGTGGTTGGTAGTCGGACCTCGGCGATCTGGGACTGGTATCCATGTCGATCCTCTGGGAACTAGTGCTTGGAATGCTCTTGTTTCTGGCCATAAATGGTTGGGTGATCTTTGGCTATTTAAATCTTTTTTCATTCATTCTTCATTCGTTCGTTCATTCATTCATTCATTCATTCATTCATTCATTCACCCATTCAATCACCCATTTATTTCCTTTGTTAAAACTTAATTTAGCAGTCTCTTAAAATCTTGTTTCTAAGTCATATGCTTGAGTTGTTTAATAAATTTTTTGTGATTTATATTAATTCATCATCGTAATTCTCAAACGTATTCATCGCCAGGTGGTGTCTCTTTCCTCCACAGTGCCCCAAGCAGATGTTGAAACTGAAACCAGGTGAGGGCTGGAAAAACCGAAGTGAAGCCATCAGCTGGTTCAGCCTTGTGTACCCGCGTACCCAGGAACCAACATGGCCCCCTGAGTTTGTACCAGTTGGTTCTTTTTTTCAATTTATTCCTTATTTTTTTCAATTTATTTTTCCAATCCGCGATAGCACATCCCTATTGTCACTAATTGCCTAATCAGATGGAAGTCTTGCAGAGGCCGGGCGAGACGATGTACGTTCCATCAGGCTGGTGGCACGTTGTTATCAACCTTGATAACACCGTGGCCGTCACCCAAAACTTCTGCACCATGGCCAACTTCAACATTGTTTGGTACAAAACTGCGAAAAGTCGGCCAAGACTGGCAAAGAATTGGCACGACAGAATGAAGGTAGCGAACGATTTGACTTGCTTATTTTGTTTTATATTTTCTACTTCTTTTTATGTTTATGATCTCGCATTAATAATTTGTGTCAACTTTTTTAAAATCACGCGCACACAATCACACGCACATAGATCATGAGACCAGAGCTGGCAAAGATGGCTGATGAGATGGACCTCACGAGAAATGACCAGGTCTTCTTCGATAGCTCGTCATCTTCGAGCAGTAGCACGTCACAGTCTGAAGACTCCGACAGCGATTCGAGTTTCCAAAGTGAGAAGGCAGCTTCACTGTCGAGCGATTGTGGAATCAGTAAGGAGAGCCTGAAGGAGGGGCTTAAGGATAGGAAGAAGACTAAGAAGTTCGTTCCGATTGGCTGCCATTCGTGGCTGTCTAACCGTGATTGGATTATGGATGATTGGCATTGGATGGCGGATAAATTTTATTGGAAGATGGATGATTATTCTTGTAGATTAATTCTGTGATTTATGATTGCTTAAATGTAATTGAATATTCGATTTTGAATGGCGGATTGGGATTGGATGACTGTCATTCTTTCGACATAAAATCATTATATTGTATGTCTCTCTCTCTCTCTCTCTATATATATATATATATATATGTATGTATGTATTAGGGATGCACCGGATTCAGGTTTTTCAAATCCGGCCAAGTCCGGCCCCGGCCGGATTTGAAATTCAAAAACCGGCCGGGGCCGGATTTTAGTTACCATTTTACATACGTTAGAAAAAATACTCACATTTACGGTTATCTACATGTTGAACATCAAAAAATAACACCAACCAAATAGTTATTTAATTCAAATATATGAATAAGTTGTGTGATACGCCAAATTCTGTACACAAAGATCAGCTTATAATTTATGCATATTTGCATAACCCAAGTTAAAGCACAAAGAAAATTGTCCAGCTCACCGCACAATTAGTGATGCTGTAATTATGTGTCATGTATACCTAGCCTAACCTTTAACATACCATGTTCTTAAATTATGTGCTCATGTATCTCTCTCTCTCTCTCTCTCTCTCTCTCTCTTAATATATATATATATAGATATATATATATATATATATATATATATATATATATTATGTAACTATATGATCCGTCATGTGCAATTATCAATATATAGTATATACACGTGCACAAGTTCTTTTACACAAAGATCAGCTTATAATTTATGCATAACCCATGTTATAGCATAAAGAAAATTGTCCAGATCACCTCACAATTAGTGATGTTATTATGTGTCATGTATGCGTTTAGCTTAGCTTCAGCCATTAACTTATTGACATAAAATTAATTGAATTCAATAAAATTTTTTTTTCTATTTCTAACATTTTTAAAAGTTGATAGACGCTTAAATCCGGCCCTAAATCCGGCCACCAAATCCGGCCGGGGCCGGATTCGACCGGATTTGAAAAAAAGCCGGATTTTGGCCGGAGCCGGGGCCGAACTTCGGTGCATCCCTAGTATGTATGTATTGTATATATATATATATGTATGTATTGTATAGGTTATGTTATATAGGTAATGCTTAATATGACAGGAAGGGCGTTGCTTTTTCGTTAAGACCCAAAGAGATGAAAATTTTATTTAAACTTCGATTTTTTTTCTAATTAGGATTTTCAGATTTAATTAGTGTGAGGCTGTGTATGTGCGTGCGTGTGCGTGCGTGCGCGTGTGTGTGTTTTTTCACAGTGGTTATTCATTAGATGAAATATTTTCCAGTTTGGGTTAAGTTTAATTTTTCTAGTTGTACGTTTGTGTAAAACTTTGTGGGGTTTGTCTTTTTTGAAAATAAAAAATTTAGTTTAAATAATTATTTATAGTTCTTAATTATTATATTATTATTATTATTATAGTTTTCATAATAATCTTTCCTTCAAACAGACATCAGAAAAACAACAACCACATGACGATGGGTGACTACGTAAGGTTGCCAGCCAATCAGAGGAGAGATGGTGATAACGACGACGACGATGATGAAGGCGACGACAGCGATGACGACGACGACGATGATGACGACTCCAACAACAATAGCAACAATAATAATAGTAATAATGATGACAGTTATATGAACGCTGACGCTGCTAGTAACAGCAGCAACAACAATATTAATAACAGTTACAACAACAATAATAATAATAATAACAAAAATGGCGGTGGTTGCAGCTACGGACGCGGCCACGAGATTTCCGCCAACCAAAACGTCATCAGAAGCTGCAAACGCCACGACAGAAGCTTCAACAGTGATGAAAGTAGCAGTGGTGATCGAAACGCCGATGTTGATAACGATGATGGTGAGGGTGATGATGATGATGCGGTCATCGGTTATGTCGGGCAAAGTCGCTTTCATAAATTTAGCAAAAAACGCAGGCGACACGCTGCCGATGGCACATACGTCGTTGGCCACAATAATAATAATAACAATAATAATAATAATGATGATGATAAAAGATACGAGAGCAGTGATGACGATGATGGTCAAGATGGTAGAGAAGGTAAAAGTACCGGATATTCTAAATATAGACATCGGAAAACCCACGGCCAATGTTTGAAAGAGGATTCCACTAGTCTCTGTGGCGTTGGTGAGCACTGCGGCGGTGATTATGACGTCAGAATGACTCCACCAATCAGGAGGCACCAGCAAAAAGTGGCCCCGGGCAAGAGGAAGTCGTCAAGGGATCGAGATTCGCGAGGGTATTGATGACGGCCAGCCAAATGTTTAAAAGTTCTACGGTGGCAAGATTGAATAGTGGAAAAGATTCGTGTGTTTGCGTGCCTGTTTGTGTGTGTGTACGTGTGTGTGTGTGGCGTGTGTTTGTTTGTAAGTTCATACATAGGTTTCACGGCACTTTTTCATTTGCACTACGATTCCTGTTTTCGCTACAAAAAGGCCTTTTTTTAGAAATTATTACCAAAAAGAATTATACGTATGTATATGCTGTTTATACAAAAAAAAATATATGTGTGTATAATTTTATTGATTGATTAATTGATCGATCGATCGATTGATTGATTGATTGATCGATCGGTCGGTTGTTTGTTTTTATGGTTGGTTTGAGTGTTTTTCTTTGTAAAAAAAAGAAAAATATTGGTATAATTCAAATAAATGACAGATGCTGGCAAAAATAATTTTTCTATAAATAAGTACACGGTATTTGTCTTTTGTATCATTTGTCTCTGGTATTTTTTTTATACAAAAGTGTACATAAATACGTACACACAAATGAGCGTACATTCGTTGGATGATTTTTTATAAATTTTTATACACATTTATTAACTGAGTTGCAATTATAAATACATACATACGTACATACATACATAGTTAGTCACATAGTACATCTGAAGATAGATAGATAGATAGATAGATAGATAGATAGATAGATAGATAGATAGATAGATAGATAGACAACAGTACCATATTTTACATGTAAAAATCCGCCGTTGATAAAGACCAAATAAAGGCATCGATAAAAAACTAAATTGCAAAAAATACATCTATTAATATGGCAGGGTAACATGAATTTTTAAACTAACTTAATTAAATAGATCAATTATCTTGAAAAATATATTTATGGCTAAAGCGCCTGCTTTGAGATTTTATTAAACCTCACTCTTTTCCCTCCCAATGTCACGCCATTTCTGGTTGATGGTACTTTTAACTAGCTCGTTTACCGCTTCGCTTTTCTGATCTACAGCTGAGCCCTGATCTGATTTTTTATCTCCTAGGGTTTTGAATCTTAAAGTCGTCATTGGAACGTCTGCTTTTGATTTGAGGAATTTAATGGTATCGATTGCTATCCTGAATAAAAAATGTCGATCTGATGATGAAAGAACGAGTTGTCTGCATTCGTTTATTCTACCGATTGGTGTGGTTGTGTCGACTTCTGCAGCTGCTGTCAAGTCGATCTGTTGCTTATCGGTTTTGACGGTGTCATCATCGTTGTTGTTGTTGTTGACTCCTACCTGCAAGCTTCCTCCATAGACAGGATCAATTTGTTTCCATATTTCATCATCCTCTGCTGATATGAAATTAGCCTGCCTGTCCAAGAAATAATGCAGCCTGTCTTTTAAGTTAGTCGGATTATACATTTCAATTTTCAGCGCGCTATCCGACTCGTCTGCTACTAATCTAACAACAAATAAATGTCCATTTCCTCCCCCGACCACTTGAACGTAACCAGCTTCAACCACGTCGAGACATCTTGCAGCTTCGTGAAGATACGCCACACCGATTCGCTTACCTGTGTTCAATTTACCGGCTTGCAGCATGTTCCCCTGCGTCCAAAGCGCAAACAGACCGTCGTATGTTAGGGTGACGTTTTTAATTTCGTTTGAGGTGGGCCTGCAGTTGCTTGATCGCTGAGCCAAGTCTGTTTTATCTCGGAATGTTTGGATCATTTTACCTGATTCGTTTAAATTGTAGATGTTCAAATTGCTATCTATAGCAAATTTGCCATCTTTCGATATGTCGCATATCTGCCCTTCAGACGTGAACTTAACTGCTGTTTCGATACTACGAAAGTTAGAGTGATTCGTTGAGATATCGAGTAGAGTGTTGATGATCTGCCCTTTAGAGTTTGTCTCAAAGGCCATCAGCAAATTTCTCTTGCCCGGTATCGTCCACAGGGACTGGAAATCTCCATTTCCTATTTTCATCAAACTGACGAAAGTTTCTAGACAAAATAATATCACATTTTTTCTGCCACAGTCCCCGCTACCGTTTCGATTTAGCGAAATGAAGGCAAGTTTTTTAGAATCGAGTAAGAAAGTCGGACATGCTGAATCAGTGAAATGTTTCTCCTCATCGATGTACAGAACATTCTCGTTGGCTCGTTTCTTCCTACTCACTCTCAATGTATTAGAGCGTCTGTAATCAACGTTAATCTGCCAGAGTTTTATATCAGAAGTAGTATCGTCGGCTGATTCGGTTGCCATCCATCTCCAGTCAGGTGAGTTTTTGAACGTGTGGCACTGAGCATGCTCTAATACTGCGATGATATTTCCGGTGTTGATGATGTCGAGAATGACCACGTAGTTCAGCTGATTGACAGGTGAAAGTAGCAGAGAGAGAATGTAGCCGTCGTGTGTCACTCGCAGCTGAAGCAGCTTCCCATACTTCTTGTACTTCAACAAAGTTTTTCTGGGTTCAGTGATAAGATTTTGTAAAATAAAAACACTGATTATATTAATTAGCTATTATAAACATTACTATTAACAATTGTACTATATTTTAACATGACATATGTTAATAGAACAATAATAATATGTTAATGACAAAAATAATTATTAAATAATAATTAAATTAAAAAACAATCAAATGTTATAAAACGTTGATTGCAAGACTTGCCTAGTTCCATCGACCAGATCAACTACATCGAGCCCAAAATAATCAGGCTGCTTGATACCTTGAAATGTGCTGCTCGAGAAACTGTTCTCAACGAATGCCAGTTTCGCGTTTTTCGCGCAATGCAACTTGCGTATGGGACCGCAGTTTGTGACTAGATTAGTTTCGCAGTGAATTGCCTGGCGAACCTCCCTCAAATCCCATACTTTGATCGCCGAATTGAGAGTGGAAGTCGTCACGGCGTAATACTTGCCTGCTGTCGTCAGTTTAAATTCTTTATGCGTGTGTAGAACCATGGACCTCAAGTTGGTTCCAGTCGATCGCTCCCAGATGCACAGACGGTTGTCCACTGTTGCTAATATATACGTGCCATCGGCGGAGAATGTTGGGGAGCGTATTAGCCGACTTAGTGGTGATTTGAAAACGTCTAACTGCTGAGGAAGTTGATTTGGAGGCGGAAAAAGAGAAGCAGAAGAATGGGTGGGAGGTGGAGAAGAAGGAGTTGAGTTGAAATGGTGAAATAATGGAAAAAATGATTTTGAGAAGGTGAGGCCAACTTTCGTTGTTGAGGCGATCGGTGTTGGAAGAATGTTCAGTGGCGCGTTGCAGATCGGCACGTCAAGGAATTCCGTATTCATTGGAACGAACGAATTTTCAACTGTATCTAGCACGCACAATAAGATGCCGCTGACGTTAACCAGTACCTTTTGTGAATGTTTTCATGAGTTCAAGTCGTGAATGTTAGGAAATAATTTTTGTAAAAACCTAAATTAAAAAATGTGAATCTTCTTACTTTATTGCTTATCTCATCGACGGTTATATCTGATAGTTTGGATGTGGAGGGTAGTACTATGTCCTCTATACCACAAATCTGTGAACTATTGTGCTTCTTAAATTCATCTGGTGAGAAATGTTTGGCGAAGTTGAAAGTAAAACTAGGTCTGAGTGCAAAAGTCCTGCAAGATTTATTAAGCCGGAACACGTTCAATATTGCACTTCCTGAATATCCGACATACACAGTTTTGTTATTTTGAGACATGCATATGACGCTGGGCGGTGTTTTGCCATGCAGTTGGTAGAGAAGGTGTTTACTTTTGAAGTTAAAAACCTTAACGTCGTTATCTTCACTTATGAGCAGCAGTGTTCCATCTTTTGACATGGACACCGTCTTTATATTTTTTCCTTTTGCAAACTCGCCTATATCAGCCAACTTGCGACCACTGCGTATGTCAAGAAAATAATTTTGTTGGCAGAAAACATCTCCAGCTAGGAACGTTCTAGACGAATTTGCCTGCTTCGATCCACATGTTCTTTTTAAGACTCCAGTTTCAACGTCGTACACCAACGTAGGATAGTCAGGATCCATACCGGCCACAACTAATTTCGTACCGTTCTTATTTAAAAATAACTGATAGATAGATTTATGGCTTGTCGACGTATCCTTCCAACTCCCTTCAATTTCCGGCAAATAAATTTTTCTAGAAACTCCACCGGACGTGAGATCCCAGCAGAGCAGTTCCTTGCTTGATATCGACATCAATTCGTTTGTGACGTTCGAGAAGATGACGTCTCTTGGTGCTGCCGAGTGGCCGTCCAAGATGTACATGAGCATCGTGTCAGGGTGCTCGAAACACTGGTGGACTGGAAGAAGAGCTGAATATCTCAGACAGTGGTTGTCACACTGCTGCAGTAGGTGCAGTAGGTCGTTGGGGTGGAAGGTCTTCATGCGTCGTTTGTTCGTGTCCTTGCTCGAATCCAGAAATTCTTTTTGTTTATTTAAAACGGCTTTGTAGTCAACAGTGTAGCCCTGGTTTGTTTTTTAAAAATGATTCATAACAACGGTTTACATTTTGCAATTCATTTTTACGTTCACGGCTGACGTTGTGAGTTTGATAAACCAAATTTTGATTATAATATTCATATCTATTTTTAACTCTGGTTCACGAACGTACATAGATATGAACAAATTGTTTTATTTATGTTATATCATTATATAAACATCTTAGTTATAGTGAAAATTATTGCAGCAGTTTATTTAAAAATTATCAACTCACCATAAAATTCTTGGCATCTGGTGTTGCTGAGGCAGCTTCCTCCCTACCTACCTCTTCATCGGCCAAAACATTGAGCAAGTTCTCATTGAAAGCTTTGTACTTGCTGGATGTGTTGAGCTCCTTGTACTTGTCATAGTACACCAGCAAGCGACCCAACAAATCAAACGCTAGCGAGTCGGGACATTCGGAGAGGTACGTTCCTCCTACTCTCAGTGCAGTCACGACCAACTGCAGCTCTACATCATCTTTGAAGATCGCGCTCGCTTCACATGCCTCGCTACAGTCGGCTAAAATTTCGTGAACTGAAGTTGCCGCCAGCTTAGCATGCAGCCACTCGTAATTGAAGAGAACGTGCGTACGTAACTGCTGGAACATCCCACTCTGGATGAGGTGATGCGGCATTTCTGACAACTTCCTCAGGTTGTAATGTTTGAATGGACTTTCCACTGCAGTCTGATCGAAGCAGAGAGGCTGTTTTGAGACCATTCGGTCAAATTTTCTTTTCGTTACTTGCTTCGGAATTGAAACAGAAGTTGGAGCGGCAGATGCGTCCACCGGTTTCGGTTTCGGTTTCTCTCCGCTCCATGTACCGAGATAGAAATGAGCCAGAAGTGTGTGTATGTAGCGGGAGAAGGTGACGTTCGATAGGTAACGTCTTTTGCAAACTTGGAGAAATTTATTGTGATACCTTGAATTGAAAAATTTTAAATTTTCAACCCCGTTAAAAACAATCAAAACTTAAATGTATATATATATATATATATATATATATATATATATATATTGATAAATAGAGCCTGAAATAGAGACCAGTATATAACAGAAACACCGTTAGCCTCCCTCTCGACTATATAGTTGGACATCTCGTCCTTGAGTCGAAGTAGTAGGAGCGGTGGAATCCTGCGTGTGGGAGGCACCCAGTGTTGGAAAACATCGTTCAGTACCACGTCATCCAAACTTAACACATCTTCCAACTCCGCACAACTCAATCCACATTTGGAAGCCGATATGTAGCTGAAGAAGTGCTGCATTGGAGGGAATAATTTTTTCAACAAATTTTCAGAAAAATAAATTTTCACTTAGCGCGGTTGGAAGAAAATATGAACAAAAAATAATTATGCTAGTGTTAAACTTCATAAAATAAATTGAGCTAAAAAAATTGAGCACAAAATTAAGAAATAAATTGTGAATGAACCTTGACAAGGATGGCTCCGTAGTAGGCTTCGACCCTTTGGAAGAGGTTGCAGATGATTCCCTCACACGTGCTGGCGATGGGGTCGGGCTGGTCGTAGGATGCCCACCTATCCACCTCCTTGCTGACCAGGGCCGTGTACAACGGGATCGTACATGTCTTGTGGTGGTTCGTCGTTGGTCATCGAGTAATTATATTTATAAATGAATGACTGAGACGGATAAACGAAATTAACAAACCGACAAATAAATTATCTCGTAAACTCGAACAAAAAATTGATACGTACCCCGAATGTTTTGTGCACAATTTTCAACTGCTCGTCAGTTAAACTCCTCTTGCGGTCTTCCAGATGCCTTTTCACAATATCTACGCACAGATTTGAACCCAGTGAAACGACCTCAAAAAAGTTCTCCCTCCTCTCGATCAACTTTTTAAGCGTGGGCAGAATATCGTAAGCGTTTGGAAGGGTTGTAATGATGACGTGCACGTGCTGGGGCAAGCTGTGCGGCAACCAGGCCAAGTTGTGAGCCCTGTGATTGGTGTTCACCTGATCCAAACTGTCCAATAGGAGGATGAGTGGGCGGTCTAAGGTTGCCATCTGGTAAAGGTTTGACCAAGTATGAAAATGATTTTGCAGTAAGGATGAAAATTATTGGTGGCAAATAGATTACAATTTTTGCGTTGCTGATAAGAAAATTCGCCACATAAGGACATAGGTTGAATGCCAAATATATAAGCGCGTTTGTAGAAACTTTCTGCAGCTTCTGGAGTGAGGTGGAAAAAATTAAAAATCTCTCACGTGTAATAAGATCTTATGTAAGAACATACTGGAAAGATAGGGACATTTTTTTAAAAAGTGAAAACACACATCTCATACTTCAAACTAAAATTCGCATGAACGTTTAAAAGAGTTTAATGAGCTAGGTAGCAGAGTATATCTATGTAGTAAATTTGGAAACAAATCGGGTGCACCCGACACCAACCTACCTTCAGCAGGTTCCCAAAATGGACGACCAACTTGACATACTCACCGGGTATGTCACTGACATCCATCTTGTAAGCTTTCGATATCTGCCAGCAGAGGCTACTTAATATGAGGCGGATGTCACAACTTAGAGCGGTTGTTCCTGTGTTGGTTGGGTTGATTAATTGATTGATTGGTTAGTTGGTTGGTTGGCTGGTTGATGTATGTATGTGTGTGTATGTTAGTGTGTGTATGTTCGTGTGTGTATATGCATCTCTTACCTAGGAATCTAACCACAACAACAGGCCTAATTTGGTTTGATGTAACTTCAGCGTACCACGAATGCATCATAAGAAATAGCTGTCGTATTTTTTAAATTATCTTTTTTATTCATATTTCATAAAAATTAAATGTTAATAATTTGCAATTTTTATAATTTAAATATATTTAATTCTCTCCCAAAAAAATAACATCAAATTTACTTTCGCCATTAAAACTGACTTCCCACAGCCAGACTCCCCGTAGAAAACGACCGGTCTACAACTTTCACTTTCGTTTTCGGTTTTTCCGCTGTATGGTTTCAGGATAATGTTGTGAATCGTTTCCTGATAAACTTTTCGGCCCCGACATTCTCGGCCCTTTTGTTGGGCCGAGTAGACGTGGTGCACAATATCTTGGAAGGTTTCGTCGAATGTGAATACCTAAGTTGAGTTAGGGATGATTTGGTTGGTGAGTGAGTGAGTGAGTGAATGAGTGAGTGAGTGATTAAATGAGCAAAAATGAAATAAATAACTGAATGTTATTATTAACGCAACTTTCTCTCTTAATTAACTGTCATTAGTTATAAGTAGCAGACGAGCGTGAATACTGCAACACCAAACATTGGACCACCTTGATTCCTAACCATAAAAATAAAAAAAAAACGATAAAACAACCTGGAAATAATTGAGTGATTTTTCAATGAGCATCTTCATCTTCATTATGAAACTATCGCAGAATTGAGCTAGATAAGTTGAAGATGAATTCGGATCAGCAGCTGTATCCGACCATTCGATCTTACATGAAAATTTTTATTTCCAACTAATAAAGAAATAATAAAAATGTCTCATTTATATAGCGCATAAATGCTTAAAATCAACTTTCTTGAGATATACACACTCTCTTGTTAGACGCGAGGTCTCCAGGTCACTTTAACACAAAAGCAGGAAAAGTTATTACTTAATTATCTGTCTATATAATTAAATATTTATTTGTAAATTATTTTCGAAGATTTAAAATTCATTGCGTTTTAATTAATTAGTTAATTAACAGAAGCAAATTAATTCAATGCCATCACATCATATGCATGCACACCAACTTCAAATAGTTCTTTGTTATCATCGTCACTGATCGCCGCGTTTAGTTTTTCTTCTTTTAAAACTTTCAACAAATTCTGCGCCTCATCATCAACTGCTAATTTTCTCTCACTTCCGTCGCTGACTTCCTTAACGTCAATATACTTGGCGGTCAGTTGGTTGTGGAGATGTTTAGTGCCCAGGTCCCTAATCTGCCGAAAGAAGCAGAGAGCAGTGTCGTTAGCACGTGAATTCCGAAATATCCCATGGTCCAATTCCATTTCCGTTACTGATACGTAAGTGATGGTGGTGTTGAGAATGATGATGATGAGATGATGATGATGATAATAGTGGTGGTCATGGTGATGACGACGAAAAAATCATAAAAGAATGTGACTAAAATGTCGTAAGAATCTTGCTGGCAACTGATGTCTAAGTTTGAAAATGATGTGATCGTTGATGATGATGATAATGATGATGATGATGATGACCGTGCCTACACGCACGGCGTACATATTCATGTTGATGATGAAAATACCAAATTTAAAATTCTGAATCTCAAACGATGAAACGATGAATTAGAGATCCTCAACTAAATCCTTGCAAGTAGCAAATCCAAAAATATAAAAAAAAACTCGAACGAACCGGATATGAAGTATTGATCCCGCTTCATCTTACTAAGAATTCCTTTTTTGTAACATTCCTCTGAGGCGAATCTTAGTAGATCGATGATACGTTTCGAAATTTGGTACCAGGTTGTAGTGGCTTTCTGCTTCAAATCTTGGTTCTGATAATTGTGTGTGTGTGGTGTGTGTGTGGTGTGTGTATGTGTGTGTGTTTTTTTGCGTGTGTACGTGACTAACTTGACTAATGATATCAGGCAAAACATTGCTTATTGGCCTCATACGATAGACATTTGGTTGGACGTTCGTGTCTTTTCTGTACCAGTATTCTAGAGTGGCGATGTCAGATGGATTTATGCCAATGTTGTTGTTTGGTAGGTTGTTGATGTTGTTGTTTGTTGTTGTTGATGTTGTTGTTTTGCCGATGACTTTTTTGCTGTAGTTTGTTGTTATTTGATTATTATTGTTGTTAATTGTTGTTGTATGGTTGATGACGTCATCGCCGTCGTCGTTTTTGTTATCGTTTGGCAAGATAAATACTATTGGTTCTGAATTGTTAGAAATTTGTTCAACTATTACCTTTTTTCGGTTACACCGCCTATAAGTTTTATCGTCTTTATTGTTGTTATTGCGGATGTCGTTGTGGTTGTTGATGTCGTTAGTGATGTTGTTGCTGCTGTTGTTGCTGCTGTTGTTGTCGTCATTTCGGTAGCAGATTATTTTGTTATCGTTAATATCCGTGTGTAGATAGATGACCAAATGATCGTTGTCTTTATGATTGTTGAAGTTGTTGCTACAGTCGTTTATCTTGTTGTTATTTACATTGTTGTCGATGACGTCATTATTATTATTATTATTATTATTATTATTATTATCATTATTATTGTTGCTGACGCTGGGAGCGCTTAATTTCAATTCTCGCAGCAGCATTTCAAACTCATCGGCGCATATCCTTGAAGGGTAGGGCCTGTAACCATACTTTTGTCCTATTAATGCCTGTTCGTTATTATTATTATTTATTGTTACTATGACTGCTACTGCTGCTGCTGCTGCTGCTACTACTGCAACTGCTACAGCAGCTATTGATGTTAAAGTTTTTCAAGTCGTAAATATAACTACTGATACTTCTACTGCTACTACCATTACTGCTACTACTTCTACTTCTACTACTAATGTTGCTGCTGTTTTACTACAAAATAATAACTTAAATAATTATAATTATGATTAATAATAATTAACAGATAATAAAAATAACAAAATACCACAATACTAGGACCAGCTGATAACTGTTTGCACTGCTCAATCTCCCTTAGACAGAAGTCGACGATGGAATGATCGTCGTGTGACACATCCCTGATTCCCCAACGCAGGTCGTATGCCTAAAATTAGTGAAAGATAAAATAAATCTAAGTGATAGATATCCTAAAAGATATTAAAGTGTACGTTAAGCCACTGCAACAGAGAAAAAAAACGTAAAAAAACATACAGTAAGTCGTAGTAGTAGTAGTAGTAATAGCAGTAATACTATCATTTTCTCTTTAGTAGTAGCAGTAAAAATAGTAGCAGCAGCAGTAGTGGTAAGAGAAGTAGTGTAGTTGTAAGAGTAGTAGTAGCAGTAATAGTAGTAGTAGTAGTAGTAGTAGTGTAGTAGTAGTAAAATTAGCAGTAGTAGTAGATTGTAAGTAGCGCCACCACAACCAAACAGTAGTAGTAGTAATAGTGGCAGCAGTAGTAGCAGCAGCAGCAGCAGTAGTAATAGCAGCAACAACTGTAGTAGTAATTACTTGAAATTCCAGGTCATATTGTCTGCAGTAATCTTTCAGTCTTGGGTAGGCTTTTTCCATTAGAATGTTTCTTTCTGAGCACGTATCTGATGACGTGATGATGATGAAAAAGATGATGAAGAAGAAGAAGATGATGAAGATGATAAGACAAAAATGTATTTAGGATGTTGATGCTTACGTAATATACTAGCTATAAAAGTAGCAACAACGATGAAGATGACGTACGAGTATAGCAATAATAATAATAAAGAGATTAACACTACAACATTGTTGTTGATGCATTTTCCAATATGAGGAAGAGGAAGAAGATTTTAAATTGAATGATGGCCTGATGATAAAAATGATAGCGATGATGAAAGTTGGAAAAAATGACGTCATCTAAAAAAAAACCCGAGAACGTAGAGCTGATGAAAACTCTGATAATCTGCGATTTATCCTGTGCCAGGGACAGTACCGACCCATCAATGACGTCATCTTCGTCAGCCCTATCCCGTTTCGTTGAGATCACCGCCTTGCGTCTGTGTGACATCTGAATAAATATATAATTATAATATAATTAATTATAAAAATACCATAAGGTACTCATTCTCTCTCTCTCTCTCTCTCTCTCTCTTTCTCTCTCTCTCTCTATCTATCTCTCTCTCTCTATCTATCTCTCTCTCTCTCTCTCTCTCTCTCTCTCTCTGTCCGCCTGTATGTCTATCTATCTATCTTTTTCTCTCTCTATCTCACTTTTTTTTATAATTTCTCCGAGGTATCAACAACAACAGACTGAAATACACAGTAACCGCATGTGAAAATACCTAGATAGGCTCATCTCACACATTTTACGTGATGTCCGTGATGGTCGGTCAGGCATGTTAAATTAGATATCACAATAATAATAATAATTTTTATTAATATTATTATTATTATTAACTTATATTTCTTTTTGTACTGACCCAAAGTCATATTATTCATAATAACACTAATATTAGTAATTAAGATATAATACTTAGTTAAATAAGCAATTTTTTAGATTTTACTATTACTAATGCTGCTGCTACTGTTACTACTACTACTGCGGCTGCTGCTACCACTACTGCTACGTCTGCTACTACTATTACTACTACTAACATGTATTTAGTAGGGTATCTTCACATGTGTATATATATTACAACAGTCAAAATAATAATAATAACGACAATAATATCAATAGTTAGTGATTAATTATAATTAAAAATAAGCTATAGATTTAGTTAATGTCGTAATTGAATGAGCTTATGTATGATCTCCAGTTATAAATGATACAATTGATACAAAACATTAAATGATTAGGTGGATATATATAAAAATATATATGCGTATAATTTATATATATATATATATGTTATCATAATAATATAACTCTATTAATATTAAATTTAATAATAATATCCTATTACAATAGAATATTTTTATTAAATCTTAAACACACACACCAAACAATAGCAATGCGTCTTATACCTGCTTTTGAAATATATATATATGTATGTATATATATACATATATTGTGTATGGTACCCACTTATATATATATATATATTTATATATATATTAGGTTATATTTAAATGTATGTGTGTATATCTACATATTTTTGGGTTTAAAAAAGCTGAATAGTTAATTATATTAATGGAAGAATAACGGTAATGATGCTGTTGACTAGTAAAGTGATGACGATGATGATGACGATTATGATGATGATGATGACGATTTCAATAATGGTGATGGTAACAATTGCGATGATGTCGGTGACGACAACAACAATTTCGACAACGATAATGAGTAAGAACAAGATGATGATGAGGATGATGACGACGAAGGCGATGATGATGATCTTGACGATTGTGATGATGATAATGATGATGATGAGGATGATGAAAATTTTTTTCTATGGTAATAGGAATAATTGAACTTTTTTTTCTCGTTGGGAATGATGGCTCCTTTGTAGGCCGTTGTTTGTTTGTTCGTTCGTTCGTTTGATTGTTTGTATGTTTGTCTGTTAGTTTGATTGTATGTTTGTTTTTTTACATGTATGTTTTTCTATCTATACGTTTCTACATTTACATGTTTATTTCTGAAGTGTTTTTGAGAAAATCTGATCGTAAATTTTGTGGAATGATACGTACATACATTTTTACGTACACACACACGCACACAGTGTGTTTACAGTTTTCTTCTGAATTTACATTCACATCCTGATCTATCTAGCCTCTGAATATATATGCTTATACAATTTTTAACACGCATTCGAATACCCACATAAGAGAGAGAAAGAGATATGAATGAAACACCGTACATTTATTCATTCATTCATAGAAACAACTATTGATCACATCGATATATTGTCTATGTACAATGGATAAAATACATGCCAATGCATGCAGGCTCTAACACCCAACCCACCCAGCAAGACAATATCGTACGTGCCAATGTCAGATTCTTCTCACTGATCAAAACACACAGACACACACGCATACACACACACACGCATACACACACACATGCATTTAAACCAAATATTATAATTTTCTAAAACCGAATGTCATAGATTGACGGAATATTCCATACGTCTCCAGCTTGAAGCTTAAAGTTGTATTTGCGCCCATACCAACTAATAACAATAATTATCCACTAATTACTAATTAAATTTCTTTAAGTAGTAGCGTACTAAAAGACAAAACCGCTTTTGTAAGAGATTATTTATTCATTCGTTTCTGCATGTGATAAAGAAAATATAGTAAATCAAAAACAGTTATTTATTCACTCGCTCACTCATTCATTCATTCATCCATCATTAATTCATTGAAGGCAATTTCACACATAATTCACATGCATGCCGGGAAGTGCAGGTTAAATAATTCACATTCACTAAAATGATGAATGAATTAATGAATGAATGGATGAATGAACAAATGATTGAAAGGAAGAATAAACGAATGAAGGATAGACAAAATGGGGGAAAACGCAGTTAATGTTAAAAATCCAAAACAATGTAACTAAACCAGAGCCTAAAAGTCATTGAATGGTTTTAAGTAATAAGAATAATAATAATAATGATGATGATGATGATGATAATAATAATAATATTCACATGACCAATAATTTGTTGTCGCTATAATCGTGATCGCCATGTAATAATAAATAAATAAATAAAGATAGAAGCAAAAAAATATAGTTAATCACGGAGAAATTATCGGCTTCAAATTTATACAATTTCTGTTATGATCGTCATCACCGACATCATCCCAATGACGTCATCATCACCATGATCATCATTGGCCGACCATCAATTACGTCATCGTCATCTCTTCATCTGCGATTTCTTCTTCATCATCTTCTTCCTACTCATCTCCTCCTCCTCTCTTCTTATATCTTCAAGATCTTCCATCAGGCCTATTTTAGAACTGTAGATAGGGCGAACAAGTCAGCATAAATTAACATGAATTAACGTTGATAAACATAGTTGCATAAATCAACATAAATTAATAAACGTTGATGAGGCATAGCAATGAAAAACGGCCCATGAATGTAATGAGCGTCAAATTCACAGGCCTATACAAGACACAATCAAATTTTTTACTAATGCTAGAATTAGTCATGAATGAACTATGCAAATTAGTTTATACTTAGCTAAATAATATATAGAATGAATGCTAATTAGCTTAAAAATAAATTATATATGAATGAATTATGTTAATTAGCTAACCTGAAAAATTCTTCCTTCTGAATGCGATTGAAGTTGCTCTCCATGTTTCGGAGCTCATCATCGTCGTACCTCTCATTTGCATACCTGTTCGTTGTGGCAACAACTGTGCATAATTAGGCTTTCGTCATTCATTAACAACAATAATACATCCACTCAATCACTCGTTCATTCGTTTATTTCACTCATTTTTCCATCCATCCATGTGTAAACTTTCTAACGCAATTAACATGCATACAACATATACATCTGCTCATTAATCTAAATAAATTTATCATTCAATTACTCACTTGAGCATTCATTCATTCCTTCATTCATTCATTCATTCACCCATCAATTCAATTAATATCTCATCCACCCATCAATCAATCAATTCACTAACTCCACCCACCAATCATAACTTACTTGGCTTTGTTGTACTTGAAAATCTGTCCAATGTGCTTCGAGTAGTCGACGCCAGCACCGTCGACACCATCATCATCATCATCATCGACGATGAAATCGGCCATGTCGTCATCATCTTCATCCTCATCGTCGTCATCTTCATCATCGTCATCGTAATGATCGCCACTTAGAAACTTCTCTTGCTTGGGAGCTGATGAAATGATGGAAGAACCAAATTATAATTTTTTGGCGATGATGATAATAAAGATAATAATAATAATGATGATGATGATAATAATAACAATAATAACAATAACAATAATTATAATATAAATAATAAGAAATATAGTAAGAAAACAATACTAACTTAGTTTCTTCTTCTTTATCATATCCCCACATATTCTATCCCAGGCACTCAAAACTTTATTATTATTATTGTTGTTGTTATTATTATTATTTTTATTATTATTAATGGTAGTAGTAGCAGTGGTGGTTTTATTGCTGTTGTCTGTTGTCGTGGTTTTGTTGCTGTTGTTGATCGGTCTGATGTGTTTGGTCGAATTGTTGTTGCTACTGCTGCTTGACACACAAGAAGAAGTAGAAGTAGTAGGAGTAGATCTTTTGTTGTTGTTGCTGCTGTTGTTGTTGTTATTGCTGCTGTTATTGTTGCTGATCTTGTTGTTTTTATTAATGTTATTGTTGTTGTTGTTGTTTTGTTTTTCTGAAATTTTTTTCAAATTTTCTAACAGGTCTCCCTTCACTACCCCTTGCCGTTTCAGCTGCTCAAATTTCCTCATCATCTGATTCAGCAATCTTTCAGCCTCATTACCACCACCACCATCATCATAATCATCGTTAATATTATTATTGTTGTTGTTATTATTTTTGTTGTCTATGTTGTTGCTGTGTGCGTTTTTGCTACTGGAGTTGTTGGTCTGTGGTTTCAGAGATGAGGACGATGAAGATGATGATGCTGGCTTATCTTTGAAAGTCTGATTACTATTATTGTTACTGTTATTTCTATTGCCATTGGTGATAATGTTCTTCTTATAGGCAGCAGATGTTTGTGAAGATGACGACGACGACGATGATGACGGTAACTTAAATGCAGATGATGACGACGACGATGTGGCGATGACTTTATCTAAAGGTTTTTTGCAGCCACCAATGTTGCTACTACTACCACTTTTAGAAATATTAGCGTTACTACTACTACTACTTTTGGTAATACTGTGGCCACTTTCTTTACTTCCTACTACACCACCACTCTTTATTCTACCAGCGTCTCCATTATAACTTTTAGTAATTTTACCACTGCTAGTGCTGCTACTACCATTACCACTACTACCGCTACCACTACTGACGCTGTTTTTTATACTACCATTACTACTACTATATCCAGAGTTTTTTATACTGCTACTGCTACCCTTGGTAAAGTTGTTAGAAGCAGTGCCGTACAGTCTGTCTTTTTCCTCTTGCGTCAGTGGACGATCAACTCCCCTATTATCGCCCACACCGACTTCTTTTCTAATTTCAGAGTTGGATTTTTTATCTTTACTGTCCTTCAGATCTGTCGTTAATATTTTCTCCACTAGGTCGGCTGGTGGCTTTTCTTTTGATTTTTGTTCTGCAATTTTTAGAATTTCATTGAAACTCAATGGCGGGGGCACGGGTTTAGATGAGGATGAAGCTGTCAGGGATGATTTTTTGGGAATTTTATAGGAGGACATTGCTGAACTGGACGACAATGAGGATGGCCTGAATTTTTTAGAATCATTTTTCTCCTCTGTGTCGGTATTGTTGGAGTGCTTTCTTTTGTGGTTGACGGATACACTTGGTGCAGATGTTAATGAGGTCAAGGTCGTTTTGTTTTTGTTGTTAGAGTTGGAAGTTGTTGTTTTCGAATTGTTAAAAAGTTGCATGGCCTTTTTGACAAGTTCCTGCTTCCTCTGCCTCTCTCTCTCTTCTTCTCGTTCTCTCTCTCGCTCTGCTCTCTCTTTCATTTCTCTCTCCCTTGCTAACTGTACAATGACATGATTGTATAATAAATTTTGGATCTTATATAAGTATAAATTATAATTTTTTAGCTTGGAAATGTTTGTCTATTAATTGAAAAATGAACATAAGAGGCATTGAACTAGGTCAACTAACTAATTTCTCTTCTTCAAGTTTTGCTTCTTTCAATCTTTTTTTCTCTTTTAGGAGTTCTAACATATTGGGGACAAACTCATCAGGAACGTGTGCTTGTCTTTTAGTTTTGAAGAGATTTCTCATGTCAATCTCTTCATCGTTGCTGGAGAGTGTCTTCGGGGCTACTGCAGGTTTCAAGGTCGTTGGGGCTGTTGTTGGTTTGTTTGTAGGCGTAGCTGCAGGCTTTTTCTCATCTGGTAGTTGAAAATTTTTTTAAATTAGTTTGAAAACCATTTTTATATATTTTTTATTTAAATTCTATTTGAATTCAGCTAAAAATATAAAAAAATATATGACACACGTAAGTTATTAATTATTCATAAATTAATATGCATGCATTTGCGTATGTATGTTTACATGAATGTCTAAGTTAACAATTAGAATCATAGTATAAAATGATTTATATATATATCAATTAAACTGTAATACAATAAAATATAAATAAATAAATAATAAATAAATATATCCATATGTTTGGCTTGATGCATGAAATGAAATAAATTCTAAAAAGCACCTTTCTCAAGTTTTTCCAAGAAAGCTTTGACAGATTCCGATTTTATTCCTTTCTGTCTCTCTTCTTTCTTAGGCGGACCCAATTTAGTGTTCAGTATCAGTGGATTTGGTTTCTGTGAAGTGTTGTTAATAATTTAGAGAAAATTAAGATTTTAATATTATGAAATTTTCATATAATTTTAATTATTAAAATACATTATTTTAAAAGTTTGATTTTATTTAATTTTAAAAAATTTTTCAATATAGTTTAAGAAATTCGGACACGGCAAACGCACAGCACAACAAAAAAAATTCTAAAAAATTCACTAATTAATACAAAATTACAAAACATACCTCCAGAAGTAATTGTTGTTGTTTGGCCGCTGCAACCTTCAACACGTCCTTATAATCCATAGTTTCGTGTGTAAAATCAAGCACCAAATTTGTCACTAAATCGAAGTTTGGGACAGATATTTATAATTTTTGTGAAAAATATGTAACAGCGAAGCAAATTTTAAACTTAAGTCCACTTTTAATGTTTACATTTTACATGCAAAGATATCGTAATACAGATTAATTAATATTTATACTCTGGAGATAAATTTTTAGTAGTCATATACATATATATAGAACACAACATAAAGTATATATTCTATGTATGTCGTCTTATATATAGAATATACATATATTCATGAGTAGAATGCTAAAAACCTTAGATTATCCAACCATACGAACATTAAGTGATATTAAATTCACGTATTATATATACATTATATTTCATTTAATTAATTTACAATGGTCCCGTACTTTTTTTACAATCGTCAATCAATCGCTTCATCCATACTACAGGCATATAAATGTACAGAACAAAGCTCAAGTCCCTGCAATTGTAAATACATTGTAATTACATTGTAAATTGTAAAAGGTTACATAAGTAATTTAGTACAGCAGTACCCCAAATTAAAAATTCTCAATCATCACTTTACAACTTTTCTGATCTAGCTCCTAGATAAGAAACTGCAATATGCAGTTTGTTGCTCCTCTACTTAGGAGATCGTAAACTTTAAGCTTCTTCGTTAAAAGAGAAAAAAAAATTGACATTTTTCATCTTTAGAAATTAACAATTTATCAATAAAAGTGTAGAATTGAGTTTATTAAATAGAGTAATAATTAATTTAGCATACGTGAATTATACACACACACAAACACACGAGCATGTACAAAAACACACACATATACATACTGCTAAAAAAACTTTTTCCAATATTTTATTAAAAGGATTAAAGATTTCCGTGAATATACTATGTAAATAACTATAAAATGACCAAAATATAATATGTAGGCTGTGCTTGTGTGTGTCAGTGTGTTTGTCGGTGTGTATGTGTGTGTGTGGGTTTGCGCCTGTGTGGATCACATTTCTGAACTTATCCGTTAAACCAGTAAAACAAATCACTACGCTACATAATAAAATATTGAGTTCGTGAAACCAAATCTAACGAAATTAAAACAATTGTAATCAATCTATTAATTAATTAACTAGTTAATTGGTTAATTAATTAACTAGTTAATTGGTTAATTAATTAATTGGTTGATTGAAGGAAACATTCAAAATGTTATTAATTAATCCACAACTTAGCAAATTTTCTCATAGAAAAGCAAGTAAGCCTGACTACTTAATGCATCTTCTTCTGAAGTTGGCTTCACCCAAGTATCGCTTATATAAAACCATCGGTAATTACCATCATCATTATTATTGTTATTATTCTTGTTATTATTGTTTTTCTTGTTGTTATTTTTCTTGTTATTATTATTCTTATTGTTACGTTTATTATTATTATTATTATTAATGGCAGATTTTTTTCTACTCTTATTATCACTCTTCCGAATATTTTTCTTTTTATTGCTCCCATTTTTAACGTGATTTAAAATGTTACCATCCTCCAATCCATCTACGCTAGCAGCAGCAGTAGAAGCAGCATCAGTGGCAGCAGTAGTAGTAGCAGTATCCTCAGTGGCAGCAGTAGTAGTAGCAGTATCACAATCATTACCAGCAACTATCCTTTCATCATTATCAGTACGAGTATCATCATTATTTCCGACAATATCTTTCTCAACATCGTCATGAATTTTACTATCATTATCAACACTGCTGCCACTTTTACTACATTCGCTACTTTCATCACTACCACCACTACTACTACCACTACTACCGTTTTTGTTATTGTTATTATTGTTATTGTCAATATTGTGATCATTACCATCACTATTACTATTAAATCTTTTCTTACTAAGCTCAATAAACCAATCCTGATCAATGAATTTTGGACGAAAAGGATTTTGACCGAGGTAGGCCAGTAATTCGTCGCTTCTGTCCCGCCTAACTTTCACGTAAGCCACGAAGTGACCGCTGCAGAGAGAGCCAGCGTGCTCAACAACGCCGTATAGATTGTACAAAAATGGTTTAGGACCGAAATTGTCAGATCGTGATGACGTTGCTGATGACGTCAGTGTCGATGTTGTTGATTTGTCGCTGCTGCTGGCATTGTCGTTATCTGCTGTTGTGGCAATAAGTCAAGTATATATACATCTACATCAAATTTTCTCTCATCACCATCTTCATCATCATTGCCGTCATCATTATCATCCTAACTCCTCCCACTTGCCTTCCTCATTAATATTCATAAAACCCTAAATAAACATATTAAAATATTTAAAAATATTACCTTGCTGTTGGGTGAACTCTTGCAGGTAATCGCAGCAATAAGCCGCCATGTCCAACACAGGCGGATACTTGACGTTTACACAACTCTTCTCGAATCGTCCGGAGAAGTTCTAAAGGGGCGTGTTATGAATATCAATGAGGAAGATAAGTGGGAGGAGTTATGAATATCAATGAGGAAGATAAGTGGAAAGAGTTATGAATATCAATGAGGAATATAATTTGGAGGAGCCATGCATATTAATGTGAAAGATATGTATACGGAGTTATGAATATCAATGAGGAAAGTAAGTGGAAGGAGTTACGCACATTAATGAGGGATATAAATTGGAGGAGCTATGCATATTAATGAGGATGATATGTGGGAAGAGCTATGAATAATAAGAAAAAATTTAATTGAACCTGTTTAAATCTCTTGAGATGCATCACAAGTACGGGTGGTAGGTGGCATATCATTTGACGGTAAATCGCTGGCGGAAGGCTGTTCACTGCGTGTGTCAATCAATTATTCAATCAATCAATCATTCAATCAATCCATCTATCTATCTATCCATTTATCAGTCAGTCAATCTATTAACCAATCAACCAACCAATCTACTAACCAACCAATCAACCAAACAAAACAAAATTTAAATTTGTTAACCATCAAAATATGGATTCGAACGCTCACAATTCCTGCACAAATTTTCCTCCATGTAGTATATTTTCGTATAGAACTTCAAGCAGTCTGTCACATCGAGTGACCGAGTGGATTTCTCCGACCTACTGTCGCCGTGGTCGAATTAGGGATTAGTGAAAAGAATAGGGATTAAGAGTGAATAAATAAAAAAACGATTTAATGAAAGAATGAACATATGACTGAATGCATGATTGATTGAATGAATGAACGAACAAATGAGTTATTAACTGGATGGATGGATGAACAGGTAAACGAATGAAAGAGTGAAAGATGAAATGAACGAACGAATAAAAACGAATGACTGAATGGAATATGAATGAATACAAAAATATCATTAATATTATGCGGACCCGTTATTGCTGCTGTTCATCTTGACAACTCGTATCAAAGATTTTGTATAATCGTCCATCACTTTGTTGCTGTTGTTATTGTTGTTGTTGATGACGTCATCGTTGTTGTTGCTGTTATAAAACACTTTCATTAACTCGTCACAACTGCACTGTTTAAATTAAAAATGTGTATTAATAAAAAAATTAATTTATTTTGGCGGAATTTAAAAGATTTTATAGTTTAATTAGTTAATAGCATTTTAATAATTTGCCAATGAAACTTACACAAAATAAAATTAACTAATAGAAATAAACGTGGTTAAATTGACTGACAAGAAAAAAAAGTGATTAATTTGATTGACAAATAATAACAAATGTCGTTAATTAGATTGACCAATGAGATTAGAGGAACTAACATTAAGCTCCTCCCCTTTCTTAAAAGTGATTGGCAGGCAGAGGTCCATAAACTTTTCAACTAAATGGCAGCCCTTAAATAAATAAATAAATCACGTGATTGGCCGATTGAAAAACTTTGAAATTTTGAAAAATTAATTATTTATTGGAATGTTGGACAAAATAACGACTGAATGAATGAATAAATAAATGAATGAATTAATTAATAAATGAAGGAATGCATTCATTTGTTCATTGAATGCAAAAATAAATACCTCAAAACACTTCAAACAAACAAAGGTACTAAGAGTATATCCTTTGAATACGTCATCTGTCGAACATTTATCTGTTGTCTGAAAAGTTTCATAGATAAATGAATGAATGAATGAATTAGTTAATTGATGAATGAATGAATTAATTAATTAATTAATGAATTAATTAATTAATATTAAGAAAAAATACCATTTCATCAGATAATCCTTTACAGAGTTCTCTTAATAATTCATAACTGTCCTCTTGTCTATAGCCGTAAAATTTTCCAGAACTGTATAAATATTTTGTAAGCGTGTTTGTGTGTGTGTATGTATGTATGCATGTATGTATGTATGTATGTATGTATGTATGTATTTATGTATGTATGTATGTATGTATGTATGTATGTATGTATGTATGTATGTATGTATGTATGTATGTATGCATGTATGTGTATGTGCGTGTGGGTATATGTATGTATGTGTATACATATATGAGTGTATGTGTGCGTATGTATGTACGAACATAAGTACCTCTGAACGTATGCATATATTTACCTGTGTTTGTTTGTTTGTCGGTCTGTCAGTCAGTCTGTCTGTTTGTTTGTTTATTTGTTTGTCTGTTTGGTTGTTTGTCCATCTGTCTGCTTGTTTATACATACATTTTTCTTACGGCATTCAAAATATCTATGGGACAGTAATATATTCCTTGGCATTTGTACAATCTCTTCATGCTTGCTGTCAGAGGAGAAACACTACGTATCTGTGGAATGAACGAATGAATGAATGAACGAACGAACGAACGAACAAATGAATAAATAAATGAACAAACGAATGAATAAATGAATAAACGAATGAACGAACGAATCGAAATAAATTTCATATAGGATAAATATGATCAAGTAAATAACTAACGTCACGTTTTTCTAACAATTTCTTCAAAACTCCTGTCTGATGTAGGCTCTGCCATAATGTAAACAAATTTAAGACGCCAACAACAACAACGACAACGACAAAAACAACGACAACGACAACAACAACGACGACAACAACAACAACGACAACAACAACCACAACAACCACAGCAACAATACTACTAATAATAATAACAATGACGCTACTAGTATCAATAATAATAATAATAACCTGTTTTCACAAGAAAAATTAAAAAAAAAGAAAAAAAGAAATAAAACGAAAACCTGTAAGACAGCATTAAAAAAGCAGGTGTTTCCTAAATTTTTCAGGCCATTCGGAAGAGGAGTCAAGTGACATGGGGGGCCAGGGATTGGCGGATGATCGACTGATGAAGATGTATCGCTACCTTCGCTACTATCAGCTGTTATATAAATTGATGATGGTTGAGATGAGGCTGGCAGTGATAAGTTTGAGAATGATGACGCTGATGTGCATTCACAATCGACTGGTGATTCAATTTGTTGTTGTTTCAGATGTTGTTGTTGATGTTGCTGATGTTGTTGCTGCTGATGTTGCTGTTGCTGCTGTTGCTGATGTTGCTGCTGCTGTTGCTGATAGTTTTGTTGTTGATGTAGCTGTTGTTGTTGTTGAATGTCGTTGTTACTATTGTTGTCGTCTTTGTTTATGTCATCGTTGTTGTTGTTAATGTCGTTGTTGCTTCGTTTACCTACCACGTTGCTGTTGTTGTTTTTTATGTTGCTGTAGTTTTCGTTGTTGTAGTTTATGTTGTTGTGGTTTTCTTTGTTGTTGGCGTTGTTGTTGTTGTCACCTAGATTTGAAAAAAAGTTTTTTCTCGCTATTTCTTTATCAATCTTCATTCGTTTTGAACATTTTTCATCTGGATTACCAGATGGTATATTACCGGCCATTATTTTCTGATTAATTTTGTTCATCTTAGGCACATCCCTATTTTTGGGTTCGCTGCTTTCCTTTGGCGAACTATTAGAGTTAGGCAAATGATGTATAATAATAGTAACGTCACCATTTAATTCGGCGTTTATCAATTCATTTTGGTTGCTATTGGCAGTATTGTTATATCCTTTGTTTGCATTTTTTATTTCAGTTTTAGTGTCTTTGGTACGTTTTTCAACTTTTTTATCTTTGCAGGGTTTCTCAGCTATGTTAGGCTCCATATCTTTGTCAATGATTTTGTTGTTGCCGCGTTGATGTTGATGATGTTGTTCCAGTGCTTGTGGTTGTTGTTGTTGCCTTGGTTGTGAATTTTGTTTCGGAGATAAGCAGCAACAAAGCTTCTGTATGTAGAGTAGAGTCTGTTTCTGTATGTATGCATGTATGTATGTATGTATGTATGTATGTATGTATGTATGTATGTATGTATGTATGTATGTATGTATGTGTGTGTGTGTACGCGTGTGAGTGTGTATGTTTATTTGTTTGTCTTACTTTTGCTCTTTTGCCAACAGCATCATCATCTTCTTCATCACTTCCTTCTTGCTTTCTCTGCCCACGTTTCATCATTTGCGACAGTAACTGATTTATGAATGGTAATTCACCGAGTATCTTAAACGCCAAAGATGGTACCACTGGTACTCTACGAAACAACGATAATAGCGTTTGTATTAGTTGTATCACAAAACGAACTACAGGCCAAACTCCACTTAGTAGCGTCTGAAATATCCACTTAGGTGTACAGAGTATACAAGATAAAAATTCAAATAACAATGATAGGCACATAAGAAAATTTAATGATAACACAACTAATCCAAGCGCCAATGTCTTTACTATAAGTTCGCTTGCAGAGAATTCAATAGAAATAGATTGCATCCTATATATATATATATATATATATATATATATATATATATATATATATATATATATATATATATATGTTTGTGTATCTACTCTTGTTTATTTCTATTTCGACCTTATCAGTGATAATTAATAACAATAATAAATAATATTATTATTATAATAATAAATTTTTTTAAAGTAATAAAAATATTAATGAAAAGTTTTTAAAGTACCTCTTATATGTCTAAGTTCATCTAGTAATGTAATAGCCACTGATGATGGATATATATTATATCCAAGCTACTGATTCAACACATTTTATTGTGATTAGTATCGTCATAGTTTAGTAATTTTCACCATAATCAGCTATAAATATGAACATATATAAATATAATATATACATTTTTTATTATTAATTGTAAATAGTGGGGTCTATTTTTTAGGCCGGAAAAAACACGGCGAAACTCAAAATTGCCCAACTTTCACTTTCGAAATGTACCATCGGAATATTTGCGTGTGCTACATAAATTGCCTAGAGCCTAATTTGTTCTTTTATAATACACATATTACACTTATATTATATTATTAATATTATATTAATTATTATATTATGATATTATATTTAATATTATATTAGCTATATTTTATAGTTATAATCATATTAAATTATATATTATCTATATATATTTATGTTACACGTACAAAAACCATTAGGAATGTGTTATGGAATTAAATTTTATTAAATTAAAATTAACTAAGAACATACTATATAAAGATATATTAATGTAGAGAGAGAAGAAAATAGAGAGAAAGAGAAATAAAGAGAGAAAGAAAAAGAGAGAGAGAGAGAAAGAGAGAGAGAGAGAGACAATCCCTCATTCATACATTGATAATAAAACCTATAGTTTCTTTTAAAAAAATGGCTATATGAAAAATAAAATTGTCTAAAATACGATGAAATATTGTAAATACACACTAAAATACACACACGCGCGCGTGCACACAAACACACATGTATATATATATATATATATATATATATATATATACTAATTCATGTTTAACTATGGTCCAATTCCTCATCATCCGTTTCAATTATAATTAATGGAAGAAATATACTTTTAACGTCATTATTTTGTTGTTTTTGATGTTGCTGTTGATGTTGTTGTTGTCGATGATGTTTTTGTTGACATAACTGTTGTTGTTGTTGTTGACATTTTAAACGCCGAGCTTTAAAAACGTTTTGTGGTTTCTGTTGAGTTGAGTGTTGTTGTTGATGGGATTGATGTAATAGTTCTTGTAGTAATTGTTGTTGCAGACGTGATTGTTGTTGTTTTTTATTTAATGATTGTTGTCGTGGTTGAAGCTGCCGTTGCTTCTCTGTATATATTAATTGAGGTAGTCTTACACACTGTTGTTGCGGTTGTTGTTGTGATATGTGTTGTTGTGGAAAATGTTGGTGATTATTGAAAAAATGTTGATTTTGTTGTTGATTTAACGATGGCTGTTCACTACCAGAATGAATTTTCCTTCTACTTGTTCGTTGTTTTGTATGTATAAAGCATCGGCCGTTGCCTGGTATTTTTTGTTGTTGTTGTTGTCGTTGATGATGTTGTTGTTTATGTAGTATCTTTTGTTGTTGTTGTTTATTTAGTATCTTTTGATGCTGTTGATTATTTAGTATCTTTTGTTGTTGATTATTTAGTATCTTTTGTTGTCGTTTATCTTGCTGTAGTATTTGTTGTTTATATGTTGATTCTAGTGAATTTTGATGTTGAGTTTGCGGATGTTTCCTATTTTGCTGTTGTTTATACAATGGTTGCTGCTGCTTATTTTGTTGTTGTTTTTTTTGTTTATTTTGTTGTTGTTGTTTATTTTGTTGTTGTTGTTTTTGTTTATTTTGTTTTTGTTGATGTTTTTGTTTATTTTGTTGTTGTTGTTGAAGTTTTTGTGTATAATGTTTTACAAGTTGTCGCTGCGGTAGAGATTTTTTAAACAACAACACCGGCTGTATTTCTAGAAGTTCATGTGGCTGCAGTTGTTGCTGTTGCTGTTTTGTATCGTCTACGTCACCAACACTAACATCTCCAGCGACAAAAACATCAGCAGCTGCAGAATCAGCCACAGCAGCTTCAGCTAAAGCAGCAGCATCATCATTACCATCATTGCCGACAACAACATCATCTCCACCAACAACATCCTCCTTCCCAGCATCATCTTCGTTGCCGTCAACGTTGTTATGCCGACCGTGCCCTTTTTTGCCCTTTTTCCTTTTTGCCCCCTTCTGCTGAGCCCCTTTTCCTTTTCCGGTTTGTGGAGACTTGGGCGCGGTGACGGTGGTTTTCTTTGAAACTTTGGATGAATGATCGCCTTCCTTTCCAGATTTATCAGGGGTCATGCAGCAGATGTATTCTTTAACAAAGTCCATTTTCTCGTTCTTAATGCTGATGTTGTTGTCGTTGTTGTGGCAACGTCATTATTATTATTATTATTATTATTACTACTACAACGACTACTACTACCGCTACTACTAATAATAATAATAACAAGAACAAAAATAATAATATTGTTATTATTATTATTTTTATTTACCTATTATATGTTTACCATAGAACATCGTTATTTAAAAAAAAATATAAACAAAATATTTTCATTAATCTGCTAAAAAATGCCACTAAAAATAAAAACTTAAGAAAAGCATTAGACTTAACATTAAAACAATTTGAATATGATATATACATATATATGATATATATATATATATATATGTGTGTGTGTGTGTGCGTGTGTGTGTATAATTTATATTCATATGTATATGCCCATTGATCAACGTCTCATTGTAAAAATTCGAAAATTCCAAAAACTTTGCCAAAATATTTTCACCTATCCATCCATCGATCCTTTTATTTAAACGTTCGTTCATTCATTCATTTGTTCATTCGTTTTTGTTCGTTTGTTTATTTTTTTCATTCATTCTTTCATTCTTTCACTTCACGACGTAGAATTTGATCTTCAGTGATTTGGCAACCCAGATGAGTACGCCAATTGGCGATATG